AAAATTAGCTGGGCATGGTGGCACGTGCCTGTAATCCCAGCTACTCGGGAGGCTGAGGCAGGAGAATTACTTGAACCCAGGAGGTGGAGGTTGCAGTGAGCTGAGATCGTGGCATTGCACTCCACCCTGGGTAACAAGAGCAAAACTCCATCTCAAAAAAAAAAAATAAAGAAGAGAATTACATAATTGTTTTGAGATAATTATCCTTGACTACAAGGATTAACAAGGGTGGCTCCAGTCCAAGGTCAGGCAGGCTGTTGCTGGGCAGATGTCCTCATGGAAGTATTTTTTTTGCGTAAGGTTGTGTGCATAATAAGGCTCCCTTCATGGCCTTCCCTAGCTCTATTTGGTCAAGGTTTTTTTTTTTGTTTTTTTTTTTTTAAACAAAAGCGACTCCATTTTGATGCTGAATACTTTCACATTTCCCTCTTGATCAAGATGTTTTCCCAAAAACATTGCCAGTCAATCAGCTTATATAATAATTCAAGGTTTTTTTGTTTTTGTTTTTGTTTTTTTGAGATGGAGTCTCACTGTCACATAAGCGGAATGATCTCAACTCACTGCAACCTCCACCTCCTGGGTACAAGCAATTCTCCCACTCAGCCTCCCGAGTAGCTGGGATTACAGGTGTGCGCTATCATGCCTAGCTGATTTTTTTGTATTTTAGTAGAGACAGGGTTTCACAATGTTGGCCAGGCTGGTCTCGACCTTCTGACCTCAAGTGATCCACCCACCTTGGCCTCCCAAAGTTCCGGGAATACAGGCATGAGCCACTGCACCTGTCAGTAGTTTAGTTTTGATAGCCCTCAGTGCCAGGATAGAACTATCTTGGATTGTTGGTCTGGTTCCATGTTGGAGGGAGTCATTGAGAACTAAGAGTTAGCAGCAAAACTCTTTGAGCCACTTTTGAGCAACAAGGGAGGCTGGGAGCGAGTGGCTCTTCAGCTAAGTTTACCTGGAGTTTATTATTAAGTTTAATTTTATCAGTTCCATAGGTATTTTCTATCACTTCAAAGTGCTGGGCCAGCATTATTCTGTTAGGAGTTGTAGTTTGGCAGGATTTTAACAAGTAACAGGTACAAAGTTTAAAAAGAAAAATACAAAGTAAAATGATAATCTCAGTTTGCATAATAGTTTTGAGCCGTGAACCTAGGCTTCAAGGTTCGATTGAATCTTTGAATCAATTGAATAAATCAAATGGTCGTGGAGAATTAGATGACACCTTTTGTAACCATGTGGCCTCTTTTCTTATTTTGCATATATGAATCTCAACTTTCCCAGATGCCTTTATCTAGATACAGCATAAAGTATTAGCAATAACACAGAAATATCTTTATTAAACTAATAGATAACATAGAGCAATTTTATCATCTAGGATCATATTCCGTAACTGGGAGGAATTAAAACAGAGAGAGCAACAGTTGTATTAGGGATGTTGCCAAAGTCACCAACTAGATGGACTAAAGGATCCCTTGGACCAGTTTCTGTCAAGTTACCAGCAGAAGCTGCTGACTGTGAAATTTCAGTTACACTGTTATCCTGCCAAGTGGAAAAGGTAGGTTTAAGAGGAGCAGGAGTCTGATTATGATATCTAGTCTTATTCTAACATCTAGGGAAAAGCTGTCTGCAGCATGAAAATGTCAACTTATTGTCCTGGTTTGCAGTTTTGAATGTCCCTGGTTATGGCACTGGATGATTTGGTGAACATTCTGTGTGAGCCATCATCAGCCATGAGACTTGCCCCTTAAAAATGTATCTAGTTAGGCTGGGCACAGTGGCTCACGCCTGTAATGCCAGAACTTTGGGAGGCCCAGGCAGGCAGATCATGATGTCAGGAGGTTGAGACGAGCCTGGTCATCATGGTAAAACCCTGTCTCTACTAAAATACAAAAAAAGTAGCCAGGCGTGGTGGCGCACGCCCATAGTCCCAGCAGTCTTGAGACTGCTGAGGCAAGAGAATTGCTTGAACCCGGGAGGCGGAGGTTGCAGTGTGCCAAGATTGCACCACTGTACTCCAGCCTAGCGACAGACTAAGACTTAATCTCAAAAACAAACAAACAAAAAATATATCTAGTTTTAGCTTTTAAGATTTCAGGAACAGAGCAGTTCCTGTTTTTAGTAATTTCATGGAAGAAAGTAAGATTGGAGGACTCTAGAAGAATTTAGTTCTGTCTACGGGTATATAACAGGAACTCAAAGACAATGCACAGGGCTATAATCTAAGAACAAATGTATTTAACAGCCTTACTCTCTGTAAGGCTGGGAACCCTTGAAGCCAGGCATTCTATGCACATTCTCAAATATGATGCTCTAGTCAAAGCCTTAGTAATACAACCAGTGTTTCCAACTGCATCCTGTTATAAAGAGAGAGCAAATTTTTAATAAACTTATGTAAATAACTCTTGCCATAAAAAAATAAGAATACTCATGGAGAGTTTCTGAATTTTAGAGGAATCAAATTCGGAGAAAAAATGTTTCTACTTTTGTTTACAAAAGTATACTAAATTACTATAAACTATCAGTAGCTTAAGAGAAAAGGTTTCCTTAAATCTAGAAAACAAAATATTTAAATAAAGAACCTGGCCAGACATGGTGGGTCATGCCTATAATCCCAGCACTTTGGGAGGCCAAGGCAGGCGGATCACCAGAGGTCAGGGGTTTGAGACCAGCCTGGCCAACATAGTGAAACCCCATCTCTACTAAAAATACAAAAATTAGCCGGCATGGTGGTGAGTGCCTGTAATCCCAGCTGTTCCAGAGGCTGAGATTGCAGTGAGCTGAGATCAAACCGTTGCACTCCAGTCTGAGCGATACAGCAAGGCTCCACCTCAAAAAAAAAAAAAAAAGAACCAATAATGTTTCAAATAAAAGTCATAAAAACGTTATCTTCAGGGTCATGCACTGTGGCTCACGCCTGTGATCCCAGCACTTTAGGAGGCTGAGGCAGGCGGATCACCTGAGGTCGGGAGTTTGAGACAAGCCTGACCAACATGGAAAAACCCCATCTCAACTAAAAATACAAAATTAGCTAAGTGTGGTGGTGCATGCCTGTAATCCCAGCTACTTGGGAGGCTGAGGCAGAAGAATCACTTGAACCCAGAAGGCAGAAGTTGCAGTGAGCTGAGATCACACCATTGCACTCCAGCCTGGGCAACAAGAGCAAAACTCCATCTCAAAAAAAAAAAAAAAAAAAAATCCTCATCTGTTACTTAATCTCATGTAATTAATTTTTGTTCTGCTTGATCCTGATTAGTAATTTCATGAATTCATCAATTTCTTCATTACAGTTCTGAAAACATATTTTAGTCCATTGATTTTTCTTCCTAGGAACCTTTATTTAAGAGTATTTATTAGAGTGTTTTTCATGAATCTAATTGTAAATGCTTTTAGAGAAGAATCATAACTATAGATGAAAGAGAATAGCTTTGGTTTAAAATCTGATGAAAGTCTACCATAACCAGAAAATAACACGGAAATGTGATTATTTTTGTGGCATACAACATAGTAACCAGAATTGTGACTGACATTAGATTTTTAGGAATTCTATGCAATATTGGAACAAATGTATCAATAATATATCCATAAATGTAACAGATAAAAGATCTAGCATCATTTGTCATTTGACACTGCTTTCTGTATAATTCAGTATCTTAAATAAGCCTGATTTAGTTCGGTATGTCTCTTTTATAAAGCTTTGAGAAGTTCTGGGACCCTCTGGTACACCCAGAGTTAGTTCAAGGTCAAAAAAACTTAATTTAGAATTTGATCCTGGGGAAGCCAGGTAACAATGTTAAAAGATTAAAAACATGATTACAGATCACTGTGAAACAATAATCATTGATTTAACCAGAGTGATAAAGATTTTAAAACACTATAGAAAGTTACATGAATATATATATTTAAAAATTTTAAAACTCTTTCAAAGCTCAGTTTTCCTCAGTATTCAGAACTAATAAAGACTATACAAGAAACTATCTTGATAAAACATTAAATCTTTGTTTCTTAGGCCAGTTACCAAAAAGTTAAAGAAAAACATCTTACAGTATGATTGCTTCTTCAAATGGGAAGCCTGTTTAGGTAACCTGGAAGTCATAAACCTGATGAAAAGGTACTTGAATTTAATCAGACACAGGAAGAGTATGTCCAAGGTAGTACACCATATTATAGAGAACTTTAAACAGGAAAACTGGTAACTTGAGCAGAGGAATACTATTGTTCCTCAGTATCTGCAGGGCATTGATTCTGGGACTGACTGCAGATGCCAAAATTCTGACATCCCCAAGTCCCACAGTTAGCCCTCGCAGAACCCACAGATGCAAAAAAGTCAGCCCTCCATATTGGGTTTCACAGCTGAAGAATAGTGTATTTTCAATCCATGTTTGTTTGAAGAAAATTCTCATGTAAGTGGACTCACACAGTTCAAACCCATGTTGTTTAAAGCTCAACTGTACATGGCTCTTAGTAAAAGCATGGGAAAGTTTTGGGTTACATGGAACAATTCGGACACATCAAGAAAGCCAAGGCCAGGCACAGTGGCTCATACCTGTAATCCCAGCACTTTGGGAGGCCGAGGTGAGAGGATCATTTGAGTACAGGAGTTTGAGACCAGCCTAGACAACATGGCGAAACCCCATCTCTACTAAAAATACAAAAAACTAACTGGGTGTAGTGGCATACATCCATAACCCAAGCTACTTGGGAGGCTGAGAAAGGAGAATCGCTTGAACCCGGGAGGTGGAGGTTGTAGTGAGCCAAGATCTCGCAACCGCACTCCAGCCTGGGCAGCGTAGTGAGACTGTCTTTAAGAAAGAAAGGAGAGGAAAGGAGGGGAAGGGAGGGGAGGGGAGGGGAGAGGAGGGGGAGGGGAGGAGAGGGCAAGGGAGGGGGGAGGGGAGGGGAGATCAGGTTATACTGGAGGAAAACAACTTTTCTAGGCCTTCAAGGTAGAACAGCTTTTCTAAAAAGAAACACTACCACATGAAATGCACACATTAATTATAGGATACATCCTGGTTGTATATGTTTTATAGAAACATTCCAGATATTAGATTATAAAATATGTTATCAATTTTGTCAATCATTTTTAAACAGTTATTTTTTTCTCCAATTATTTATAACACTTTTCTTTTTTTTGAGGCAGAATCTCACTCTGTTACCCAGCCTGGAGTGCAGTGGCAGAATCATAGCTCATTGCAGACTTGAACTCCTATGCTCAAGTGATCTCCTACCTTGAGTCTCCTGAGTAGGCAGGACTGTAGGCATGCACCACCATGCCTGGCTAATTTTTTAAAATTAATTAATTAATTTTTTGTTAGATACAGGATCTCACTGTGTTGCCCACACTGGTCTCAAACACCTTGCCTCAAGTGGTCTGTCCACATTGGCCTCCCAAAGCACTGGGATTACAGGTGTGAACTACCACACCTGACCTGTAACACATTTTTATACCAAATTATTTTATTTACTTGTGTTTCTGGGTTTTTGATTATGTGTCATTGATTTTATTCAGTGCCATAACTTTCCTCTTTTATAGTTTGGTATATCTTTTGGGGTTTCATAAAGCATTATGGGTGTGTTAGGCTGTTCTTGCATTGCTATAAAGATATACCTGAGAATCCTCATCTCTCATCTTATGTAAAAGATTAATTCAAGATCGATCAAAAACTTACACATTTTAAAGTTTTTTAAAAAGGAAATACTTGAGACTGGGTAGTTGATTAAAAAAAAAAAAAGAGCTCACAGTCCCAAAGGCTGTACAGGATGCATGGTGCCAGGCATCTGCTTACCTTCTATCCTGAAGATGAGACTTAAGGATACAATCATAATGGAAGGCTAATTGGGAGCTGGCGCATCACATGGCGAGAGTGAGAGAGTGAGAGTGGGGGTGCAAAGGTGCCGCAGACTTAACCAGATCTTGCAATAACTCATTATTGTAAAGACAGCAGCAAGCCTTGAGGGATCTGCCCCCATGACCCAAATACCTCCCCCAGGCCCCACCTCCAACCTTGAGGATTACAATTCAACATATGGGGAATACATACATATGTATGTATGTGTCTCCTTACTATTTTTCCTCAAAAAATTTTTTGGTTGCTTGTACCCATTTATTCCCCCAAATGAATTTTAGAATAACTTTGTCAAAGACTGCATTAGATTGCTTCTTTGGGCCAATTAATTCTTTGTTGATAGGGTTGTCCTGTAGGATATTTAATAGCATCTCTGACCTCTACCTGCTGGATGTCTGACAGTAGTAACCCCTCAACTTTTGACAACCAAAAATGTCTCCAGGCATTGCCGGATAGCTCCTGGATGGGGGGTAAAATTGCACCAGTTCAGAACCAGTACATTAGTTTTATAAATAATTAAAGGAGAGTTAGTAACTTAATAATACTGTCTTTCTAAGCAGAAGTACACTATAACTTTCATTTTATGAGATTTGCTTCTTGGTGGTTAGTAAAACTATAAGACTTCCTTGGGTTTGGTGCCTTACTGTGGAGCTGGTGTTTTGATTCTGAATGACTGTGTGCCATGTAGGGTTGAACATATCAATCCTAGTAAGCATTGCATAATAAGAATAGCTGGCATTTATGTCAGGCACCATGTCAAGTGCTTTACTTGGGTTAACTCATAATCTTCACTGCATCCCCACGAGGTAGGTAGTATTATTATCCCGGTTTGGTAAATGAGGAAACTAAATAGGTTCAACCAGATGCTAACTAGTAGAGCAGGTTTACCATCACTCGTCTCCATCTTTAAGATTCTGGGGCACACTTTCAAACCTCATACCAGGTTTCCAAGGGAACATCAAGTGGAGATATTAGAAGGAAATGGTTAAGTGGAAAAAAGCAAGTCAAAATATAATTCTTTTTTTTTTTTAATGAGACGGAGTTTTGCTCTTGTTACCCAGGCTGGAGTGCAATGGTGCGATCTCGGCTCACTGCAACCTCCGCCTCCTGGGTTCAGGCAATTCTCCTGCCTCAGCCTCCTGAGTAGCTGGGCTTACAGGCACGCGCCACCATGCCCAGCTAATTTTTTGTATTTTTAGTAGAGACAAGGTTTCACCATGTTGACCAGGATGGTCTCGATCTCTTGACCTCGTGATCCACCCGCCTCGGCCTCCCAAAGTGCTGGGATTACAGGCGCGAGCCACTGTGCCCAGCCCTAATTCTATTTTTTAATTGTGTAAATCTGAAAAAATAGACCCTCCAGAGTTTTTTAATCCAGAAATTACTTTTTGGGTTTTGGTATATATTTTTTTGAGACGGAGTCTCACACTGTCACCCAGGCTGTAATGCAGTGGCCCAATCTTGGCTCACTGCAATCACCTCACGAGTGCAAGCAATTCTCCTGCCTCAGCCTCCTGAGTAGCTGGGACTACAGGCATGTATCACCACACCCAGCTAATTTTTTTTTTTTAATGTTTTTAGTAGAGATGGGGTTTCACTGTGTTGGCCAGGATGGTCTCAATCTCCTGACCTCGTGATCCACCTGCCTTGGCCTCCCAAAGTTTTGGGATTACAGGCGTGAGCCACTGAACCCAGCCTGTTTTTTAAAACTCTTTTTTTTTTTTTTTTTGAGACAGAGTTGCATTCTGTCACCCAGGCTGGAGTGCAGTGATGTGATCTCGGCTCACTGCAAACTCTACTTACCATGTTCAAGCGACTTTCCTGACTCAGCCTCCTGAGTAGCTGGGATTACAGATGTGTACCACCACACCCAGCTATATATATATTTTTTAACTCTTATCAGGTACTTTTTAAAATTACCTTCTCTTTGGGCCAGGCACAGTGGTTCGCGCCTGTAGTTCCAGCACTTTGGGAGGCTGAGGGGGCGGATCACAAGGTCAGGAGATGGAGACCATCCTGGCCAACATGGTGAAACCCGGTCTCTACTAAAAATACAAAAATTAGCTGGGCATGATGGCGTTTGCCTGTAATCCCAGCTACTTGGGAGGCTGAAGCAGGAGAATGGCTTGAATCAGGGACTCTGAGGTTGCAGTGAGCCGAGGTTGCACCACTGCACTCCAGCCTGGCAACAGCGGGAGATTCCATCTCAAAAAAAAAATTACCTTCTCTTTCTCAACCCCTTCCCCCAAATATAAATTAGTGAACTTATTAATATAATATTCACTACAGCTGTATGGAGCTATCATAGAAAGCAGAATTCATCTACATTTTTAATACATCAGATGTGAAATTAACTTGGGTCTTAAATCAAGTTCAGCTTCCTTATAAGCCTGCAGGTTGCTTCCAACATCCCTCATTTGACCCGGACTATCTTTGGGAGGTCGGTGAGTTTGGCTACCCATGAAGACAAAGTGTTTTCCTCTGTGTGAGAGGGATTTAGTTTTGTATTTTTATATTAGCTTATTTGTAAAGTGATACTTTATTCCAGTGGGTCCTTTTATATCAACTTTATTGAGGTATAATTCCATACCATACCATAAAATTCTCTGAGTTATGCAGCCATCACTATCTAATTTTAGAACATTTCCTTCACTCTAGAAGGAAACCCTCTACCCTCCAATGGGTTCTCTGGTTTGCTTATGTTTTAAAGGTACATAAGCATATCATTCGAAAAATAAATTTTTCCCATTTTAGATTATAAACATTAGGCTGGGCATGGTAGCTCACATTATTAATCTCAGCACTTTGGGAGGCTGAGATAGGCAGATCACTTGAGGTGAGGAGTTCGAGACCAGCCTGCCCAATATGGGAAAACCCCATCTCTACTAATACAAAAAAATTAAGCCAGGCATGGTAGTGCAGCTACCTGGGAGGCTGAGGAACGAGAATTGCTTGAACCCGGGAGGCAGAGGTTGCAGTGAGTCAAGATTGCTCCACTGTACTCTAGCCTGGGTGACAGAGTGAAAATCCATCTCAAAAAAAAAAAATTGTAAACATTATTTTTAAATTGTAAATAGATGGGGCATGGTGACTCACGCCTATAATCCCAACACTTTGGGAGGGGGCGATGGGAGGATCACTTGAGGCCAGGAATTCCAGGCCAGCCTGGCCAACATGGCAAAACCCCGTTTCTACTAAAAATACAAAAATTAGCTGGGAGTAGTGGTGGCAAGGGCCTGTAGTCCCAGCTACTCTGGCGGCAATGGCATGAGAATCACTTGAACCTTGGAGATGGAGGTTGCAGTGAGCTGAGATTGCACAACTGCATTCCAGCCTGGGCAACAGTGCAAGACTGTCTCAAATAATAATAATAATAATAATAATAATAAATTGTAAATAGAGGTAAGAAATTCTTACGTAAGAATCTGCCCCTGTCATTTCTATTCTAGATAGCTACAGTTATCTAGCGCCTGCCTGCTTTTTCTATTTCAAATAAACTAATGAATCATCTTATCTGTTACTTTTTAAATCCCATTGGAATTTTGTTTGTAATTATTAAGCTTATAGACCGTTTGGGTAGAACAAATACTTTTTAATTGTTGTAAAAGGTGTATGATGGCCGAGCGCAGTGGCTCACACCTGTAATCCCAACATTTTGGAAGGCCAAGGTGCATGGATCACTTGAGGCTGAGAGTTTGAGACCAGCCTGGCCAACATGGCGAAACCCCATCTCTGCTAAAAATACAGAAATTAGCCAAGTGTGGTGGCACACACCTGTAATCCCAGCTATTCTGCAGGCTGAGGCAGGAGAATCTCTTGAACCTGAAAGGCGGAAGTTGGAATGGGTCAAGATCATACCCTGCTGCACTCTAGCATGGGATACAGAGCAAGGCCCTGTCTCAAAAAAAAAAAAAAAAGAAAAAAAAAGGAAAAAAGGGTTTATGAGTAGATAATTTAAGTAGGCCTATATCCAATAAAGAAATAGAATCAGTAATTATTAATAATCTTCCAAAACAGTAAGCTCCAGGCCCAGATGGGTTGGTGAGTGAATTCCAAGAAACATTTAAGGAAGAAATGATATAAATTCTCCGTAATGAATTCAGAGAATAGAAGCAGAGGAACTACTCCCTAACTAACTCTATGAGACCAGCATTACACTAATACCAAAACAAGAAAAGAAATTATAAGAGAAAACTACAGACCAATATCTCTGATGAGCACAGATGCAGAAATCCTCAACAAAGTATTAGCAAATCAGATCCAACAATGCTCAAAAATAATTATACATCGTGACCAAGTAGGATTTCTCCCAGGTATACAAGGTTGATTCAACATTTGAAAATCAATTAAATTCATTAATGCAATTCACCACATCAGTAGGCTAAAGAAGAAAAATCACATGATCCCTTCAATAGATGCCAAGAAAGCATTTAACACCTATTCATGATAAAACCTTCCTGCAAACTAGGAATAGAGGGGAACTTCCTCTACTTCAGAAAGAACATCTACAAAAAAACTGCTACTAACATCATACCTAATGGTGAAAAACTTAAAGCATTCCTACTAAGATCAGGGATATGGCGAGGATGTCTTCTCACCATCACTCCTTTTCAGCGTTATACTGGAAGTCCTAGCTAATGCAACCAGAGGAGGGGAGGGAGGGGAGAGGAGAAAAAAGAGAAGAGAAAAGAAGAAAGGAAAAAAAAGAAAAGAGATACAGGGCTAGGCGTGGCAGGTCACACCTGTAATCTGAGCACTTTGGGAGACCAAGGCAGGCAGATCACTTAAGGCCAGGAGTTCGAGACTAGCCTGGCCAATATGGTGAAATGCTGTCTCTACTAAAATATACAAACTAGTCAGGCATGGTGGTGAGCACCTGTAATCCTAGCTACTTGGGAGGCTGAGGCAGAAGAATCACTTGAACCCAGGAAGCAGAGGTTGCAGTGAGCTGAGATTGCACCACTGCGCTCCAGCCTGGGCAAGAGAGTGAGACTCTGTCTCAAAAAAAGAAAAGATATACAGATAGGGAAGAAAGAAATAAAATTGTTTTTGTTCACTGAAGACATGATTTGTCTATATAGAAAATCTCAAAGAATCAAGAAAAACACCTCTTAGAACTAGCAAGCAATTATAGTGAGTTTGCAGAACACTAGGTTAACATACAAAAGTCAGTCACTTTCCTATATACCAACAATGAAAAAGTGGAATTTAAAGTGAAAAATATATTGCCATTTACATTAGCACTCCCAAAACTTGAAGAAATAGGTATAAATATAACAAAATATCCTCAAGATCTTTATAAGGAAAACTACAAAATCGTAATGATGGTTATCAAAGAAGAACTACGTCAATGGAGAAACATGTCATGTTTGTGAATAGGAAAACTCAATGTCATCAAGATGTCAGTTCTTCCTGACTAAATTGGTAGATTCAATGCAATCCCAATCAAAATCCCAGCAATTTGTTCTGTGAACATCAACAAACTGATTATAACGTTTATATGGAAAGACAAAAGATTCAGAATAGCTGTCTCGGTCCATTTTTCATTGCTATAAGGGAATACCTGAAGCTGAGTAAATTTATAAAGAAAAGAGGTTTATTTGGCTCTTAATTCTGTAGGCTGAACAAGAAGCATGACACCAGCATCTGCTTCTGGTAAGGACCTCAGGAAGCTTCCAATCATGGCAGAGGTGAATGGGGAGCAGGCATGTCTCATGGTGAGAGAAGGAGGAAAAGAAAAGAGAACAATCAGATTTCATAGGAACTATGAGTGAGAACTGGCTCAATCCCTTGAGAATGGCACCATGACATTTATGAGGGATCCGTCCATATGATTCCACCAGGTCCTACCTCCAACATTGGAGATCCAATTTTAACCTGACACTTGGAAGGACCAAATATCCAAACTATATTATTCTTTCTCTGGCCCCCCAAGTGTCATATCCTTCTCATGTTATAAAGCATAACCATCCCTTCCCAATAGTTTCCAAACGCCTTAACTCATTCTGCTATCAATTCAAAAATGCAAAATCTCATCTGAGACTGAAGGCTAATTTCCTCCAGCTGTTAACCTGTAAGATGAAAAACAAGTTATTGACTTCTAAGATATGAGGTCTGTACAGGCATAGGGTAAACATTCCCATTCCAGAAGGGAAGGATTGGCCAAAAGAAAGGGGTAATAGGCCTTATGCAAGTTAAAACTCAACAGGGGGATTTTGATCCAAGATGGCCGATCGCTAACATCCCGGGATTGCAGCTCTCAGGGAAGGCGCGGAGAACTAGAGGACGCCACACTTTCAGACAAATTCTGGTCGCTCACGGAGCAGGAGATCCCCCAGTGGAGGAAACACATGGGTGGCCAGCGTGGCTCTCGTGGCCGGTGCAGCAGTTCCGCCGGCACCTCGGCGCGGCAGCTCTCGGAGCAAAGTAAACAGGTTCGGAGGACCTGCACGGGTCCCCAGCAGGACACCAGAGCCCGGCGCAGCCGCTGTGACAGCACCTTGGCGCGAGAGCACTCCGCGCAGAGTAAACAGGACCGGTTTCCCTTCTGACCGAGGTTTGGAGCCCCGGGAAGGCAGAGTCGCCTACTACCTACACAAGAAGGAAGCCCGACAGGAGAATCCTGGGCAGAAAAGCACCATCAGTTTTAACGCCGCTGCTCTGGCCCTGGGAACTAACAACCTGGACGCCCACTCAAGAGACCTAATCTGAAAGTTGGTAATTTCAAAGAGACAGGAGGATAAATTTACAATGACGGGAAGAAACCAGTGTAAAAAAGCTGAGAATACTCAAAATCAGAAGGCCTCTCCCTCTAAAGATATCACAGTTCCACATCAACAATGGAACAAGGCTTGATGGAGAACGAGCGCATCCCAGTGACAGAATCACTCTTCAAGGAATGGATAATAAGAAACTTCGGTGAGTTAAAAGACCATGTTGTAGCCCAACGTAAAGAAACTAGGAACTTTGAAAAAAGGTTTGATGAAATCCTATTGAGAATAGACAACTTAGAGAGGAGTATGAGTGAATTAATGGAACTAAAGAATACAATACAGGAACTCCGAGAAGTATGGACAGGTTTAAACACTCGAATTGTTCAAGCAGAAGATGGGATATCAGAGGTCAAAGTCCAACTTAATGAAATAAAACGTGAAGAAAAGATTAGAGAAAAAAGGATAAAAAGGAATGAGCAAAGTCTCCAAGAAATGTGGGACTATGTGAAAAGACCAAATTTACGTTTGATAGGTGTACCTGAATGCGACGGAGAGAATGAATCCAAGCTGGAAAATACCCTTCAGGATATTATTCAGGAAAATTTTCCTGAACTAGCAAAGCAGGTCAAAATTCAACCCCAGGAAATACAGACAACACCACAAAGATATTCCTCAAGAAGAGCAACCCCAAGGCACATAATCGTTAGATTCACCAGGGTTGAAACGAAGGAGAAAATACTAAGGGCAGCCAGAGAGAAAGGTCATGTTACCCACAAAGGCAAGCTTATCAGACTTACAGCAGATCTCTCAGCAGAAACTCTACAAGCCAGAAGAGAGTGGGGGCCAATATTCAACATTCTCAAAGAACAGAACCTTCAGCCCAGAATTTCATATCCAGCCAAACTAAGCTTCACAACTGAAGGAAAAATAAAATCTTTTATGAACAAGCAAGAACTCAGAGATTTTATTACCACCAGGCCTGCTTTACAAGAGCTTCTGAAAGAAGCATTACACACAGAAAGAAACAACCAGTATTAGCCTTTCTAAAAATACACCAAAAAGTAAAGAGCACCAACATAAAGAAGAATTTACACCAACGAATGGATAAAACAGCCAGTCAACATCAAATGGCAGTAACCCTAAATTTAAATTGACTAAATCCCCCAATCAAAAGACACAGCCAAAACCCAATGGCATGTTACATCCAGACCTGTTTCACATGCAAGGATACACAAAGACTCAAAACAAAGGGATGGAGAAAGATTTACCAACCAAATGGAGAGCAAAAATAAATAATAAATAAATAAAAAGCAGGAGTTGCAATTCTCGTAGTGGAGAAAATAGATTTTAAAGCAACAATGATATAGTGGTAAAAGGATCAATGCAACAACAAGAGCTAACGATCCTAACACCCCGATACGAGACTTAGATTCAATGAGACAGAAAATTAATAAGGATATCAAGGACTCGAACTCAGATCCGGAACAAGTAAACTTAATAAATATTCATAGAGCTCTCCATTTCAAATACACAAAATATACATTCTTGTCAATACCACATCACACCTACCCATAAGTTTAAGTGAAACATTGATTGGCCATTATTAATACTCAGTTTTTTTCAAAATAATGCAATATTTCCATTTACTCTCCCTCTTTCTCTTCCTCTTTCTTCCTCTCCTTTACTTATTATTATTTTTTTCTTTCCTTCTCTCAAAAAAAAAAGAAATCAACTTGTAAACCTATAGATCCAGGTCGGCAATGTCTCTCTCATTGCTTGATTTCCTTCCTTCCCTTCCCTCCCTCCCTCCCTCCCTCCCTCCCTCCCTCCCCGCTTCCTCCCTTCCTTCCTTTCTTCCTTCATCCCTTCCTTCCTCCCTACCGTCCTTCTTCCCTCCCTTCCTTCCTTCCTCCCCCACCCAAAAAAAAAACAGGGTAGATATTAAATCTTCAAGCTCCAAAATAATCTCCCTTAACTCCATGTCCTGCATCCTGGACATACTGGTACAAGAGGTGGCCTCCTAAGGCCTTGGGCAGCCCTGCCCCATGGCTTTACTGGGACACAGCCAATATGGCTACTCTCACAGGTTGGAGTTGTACCTTTGGCTTTTCCTGGCTGAAAGTACAACTGCTGGCTGGGCACAGTGGCTCACGCCTATAATCCCAGTACCTTTGGGAGGCTGAGGCAGGTAAATCACAAGGTCAGGAGTTCAAGACCAGCCTGGCCAATTTGGTAAAACCGCATCTCTACTAACAATACAAAATTAACCAGGTGTGGTGGCATGCATCTGTAATCCCAGCTACTCAGGAGGCTGAGGCAGGGGAATTGCTTGAACCCAGGAGGCAGAGGTTGCAGTGAGCCGAGATCATGCTGTTGCACTCCAGCCTGGGTGACAAAGCAAGACTCCATCTCAAAAAAAAAAAAAAAAGAGAGAAAGTACAACCTGCTGGTGGCTCTACCACTCTGGGCCCTGGAGGGCAGCAGCCTTGTTTCCATGAATCTACTAAGGAGTACCTCTGTGGGGGCTCCAATCCCACATTTCCCCTTGGCACTGCCCTAGTAGTCTCTCTGTGAGGGTGCTGCCCCATGGCAGGCTGCTGCCTGGGCACCTATACTTTCTGATAAATCTGAAATCTAGGTGGAAGCTGCCAGAATGCACTCTTGCATTTTGTGTGTCTGCAGACTTAACACCACGTGGAAGCTGCCAGGGCCTCTGATTGACACCCTGAGCTATGTCTGGGGCCTTTTGAGCCCAGACTCGAACCTGAACAGCCTGAGTTTGGACTGGGCTCCTGAAATAATTCTGGCCTCCTAGGCCTGTAGGCCTTTTTCTCATTGTCCTGCTAATTTCTTTTGCAAGTCATTGTTCTTCAGCCCCTTTGGATTTCTCTCCTAAAAATGCTTGTTCCTTTTCTACCACAGGACTGGGCTGCAAATTTTTCAGACTTTTACACTCTACTTTTCTTTTAATTTTAAGTTCAAACCTTAGATCAGCCCTTTGCTTCCACATTTGATTGTGGACTGTAAGATTTAGAACAAAGCAATGATGTCTACTTTCACCACTCCTACTCAGATGGTGCTGGAAGTCTCAGCTGGTGCAATTGGTTAAGAAAAGGAAATAGGCCAGGCATGGTGGCTCATGCCTGTAATCCCAGCACTTTGGGAGGCCAAGAAAGGAAGATCACCTGGGCCCAGGGGTTCAAGCCCAGCCTGAGCAACATAGAGAGATACTATTTCTACAAAAAAATAAAATACGAAAGGGGAATAAAATGCATGCAGATTGGAAAAAAGAAATGAAACTGTCTCTATTTCCAGATGACATGATTGTCTATGCAGAAGATCTCAAGGATACTCACCCCCAACAACAACAACAACAACAAAAATTCTAGAATCTAATTGAGTGAGTTTAACAAGGTCACTGGATACAAATTCAACACAAGCCTTGACCAGGAACTTTTTCCGTCAGGAGTATAGCCAACTTAGAAGGACTCTCCACTAAAAAAAAAAACCAGGATTCTTAACCGAAACTAACTTTTCCTGCTAGCCACACTGACGAGAATTAACAGAAGTTTCCAAAGAGTAAAATTAACCAAAAACCATGAGCAGAAACTAGAGTGGTAGGCAGCAAATCCCATTATCAATACCATAAGTGGGTGATAAGCCTTGGGTCAGCAGTTTGCTGGTACAGGTGAATCTGACACTTCCAATTTAGTAAGTTCAAATCCCCAAAAGAAAAGTGTTCTGGTTTCTGAGCTTTCTTTGTTTTGCTCTAAATATGTATAATATTCACCTCACAAGGTCTGAAAATAGGGCTAATTAGGCGGCCTGAAGGAGTTATTTCCTAGTTTCACTCTGCAGATGCCAGATATCGGGGAGCTTTAGTAATCTGTGTTTCTCCTCCCTCTGGCAATACAACTATTAAAATTAGAAAGAGAATTTGTTATTTGTGAAAGCTTAACCAGAACAATATGTGCTAGAAATGCAAAATACTTAATTAGGAGTTGAGAATATGAGAGAACAATGAAACGAGAATAGATTAATAAATATTATTAGATTTTATTTATTTATCATTTGTTGGATCCAAGTACCTTATAGCTACCAAGGATACAGGATACAAAAAGAGGTTCTTCTTTTTTTTTTTTTAAGCCTGCAGCACCTGGTATTCCCACGCAGTCTCCCTTTCAAGTACTAACGAGGCCCGACCTTGCTTAGCTTCCAAGATCAGACGGGATTGGGCGCATTCCAGGTGGTATGGCCGTAGACAAAAAGAGGTTGTTCTTAAATGGGAGAGAAGATAACTAAGTGCCCTGCAAAATGTCTCATGATATGTGCTAAAGTAACTAGTATGTACAGTGTGCTGTGGAATCATCAAAGAGGGGAGCAAACTAACTCTCTCCAAGGTTTGAAGAGCAGTGCAGTTGGATTCTACTTCCAATCTATGAAACTTTAACCATACCTGTTAAAGTACTCTCTGAGGACCCAGTGAAAAATCAGGCAGATACCAGAGAGGAATCTGTTCTTATAAGATAGCTGCATAGGGTGATATCTGTGACTTTGTGGCTTTTTAACTGATTGCATTCCCCAATCATTTGCAACTTGGGTGGCAGAAAGCTGAAATTTTATAGACTTGAAATGTCAGGGGACAGAGGTCAAGCTGGCAGAGCAAGAAATTACAGAGGAAACTCTGCAAACAAGAAAAATCATAGGAAGGGTAAATCCCAAAATTTTAATATAATGTCTGCTCAGGTGCTTGACTAATAGCCAAGTTATAAAGGCACAGCAGGGAAACCCCCCGCCTCAAGGGGCCAGGTTAAAACAACAGCGACTGGAAACTATAAGAACAAAGATATCAGTACCTGTATTGTACAAGGGAGACAAAGTTTACAGTTTGAATCTAGGCAAGTTAAGTATTAATATCTACTAGAACAACAGCAAAAACCCTGTAACAATTCTTAGAAGAACATAGTTAAACCCAGTGTCTAGGCATGCAAAGAAACAGAAGTGTAACCCCTACTCAAGGAGGGGAAAAGGGCAGCCAGTAGAAACTGAGTGAGCCTAGTTGTTACATTTAACAAAAACTTCAAAGCAGTTATTATAAATGTGTTCAATGAGTTAAAGAAAATATGACATCAATGAGTGGGTGGAAAATCTCAACCAAGAAATGGAAACTATAAAAATGGAAATTTGAGAGTTGAAAATACAGTAACTGAAATTTTTAAAAAGTCTGAATGGCTTCAACAGTAGATTGGAAAAGAAAGCAGATTGGCAAAGAAGCTGTGGAATTGAAGCTAAATAAAGCAATAGAAGTCACCCAATTTTGAGAAACGGGAGAAAAAGATGGAATAAAGTTGAACAGAGATATGTAGGGCAATATCAAACAATAACCCATAATATATATAATTAGAGTCTTAGGAGGGGCAGCAGATTGTAGAAATTTTTTGAATATATAATGACTGGAATTTTTGAAATTTGCTAGGAAAAAATTAGCTTACAAACCCAAAAAATAAACAGACTAAAGCAAGATCATCACAAAACCATTTATTGACTGTCCAGAGAAAAATGATATATTGTATATAGGGAGCAGCAGTGCAATTAACATCTCACTTCTTATCAGAATCTGTGGAGGTCAAAACATACTGGACCAACATATTCAAATGTTGGAAGAAAGAAGACTTTCAGCCAAGAATTCTACATCTGGCAAAATTACTCTTTAAAAATAAGGGGAAAATAAAGACATTTTTGGATAAACAGAGATGAGAGAATTTTTCACTAGTAGACCTGCACTATAAGACATTTTGGCTGAAGGGAAATGACACCTAAATGGGTATTTGGATCTACACAATGAGTGAAGAGCACAAGAAATTATAAATCTGTGTATAAAGCAAAAATAATGATTTTTTGTTATTTCCTAATATCTTTAAAGGACAAGTGACTGTAAACAAATACAGTACTACTATATTGATATGTTTATGATATGTGCAGATAATAACACAGGACAACAAAAATACAGGATAAGGCACAGGTAAATGGAATATTTTGTAAGGTTTCTATAGTTTTACCTTAGGTAATTCAATAAATTTTCTCTTCTTTTTTTTTTTCACTTTGTCCCCCAGGCTTGAGTGAAGTGGTGTAATCTTCAGCTCGCTGCAGCCGAAGTTCAAGCCGAAGTTCAACCACCCAAGTTCAAGCAATCCTCTTGCCTCAGCCTTCCAAGTAGCTGAGACTAGAGGCGTGCACCACTATGCCAAGCTAATTTTTTTTTTTTTTGAGACGGAGTTTCGCTCTTGTTACCCAAGTTGGAGTACAATGGCGCGATCTTGGCTCACTGCAACCTCCACCTCCTGGGTTCAGGCAATTCTCCTGCCTCAGCCTCCTGAGTAGCTGGGATTACAGGCACGCGCCACCATGCCCAGCTAATTTTTTGTATTTTTAGTAGAGACGGGGTTTCACCATGTTGACCAGGACGGTCTCGATCTCTTGACCTCGTGATCTACCCGCCTCGGCCTCCCAAAGTGCTAGGATTACAGGCGTGAGCCACCATGCCCGGCCCAATGGACCAAAATTGTAAACAAAAGGCAGAGATTGTCTGACTAGACCCAAAAAAAAGCAAGAACCAAGTATGTGCTATCTATAATGATAAAAGAGTTAATATGTTAGGAAGTTATAAGAATTATATATGTATATGCACCTAATAAATATAGTTGCAAAATCCATGACGCAAACAACTGAACTAAGAGAGAAAATAGTCAAAGCTACAGCCATAGTTGGATACTTCTCACTAAGTAATTGGTAATGTAACTGTATACTCCCCCACCAAAGTAAAGAAATCAAAGATCTGAAAAAGACTATTAACTACCATGACCTGATTGATATTTATAGAACTGTAACTAACAAATACAGAATACACTTTTTCTCCCTAAGTACACAAGGAAGATTCACCAAGGTAGGCTGTGTGTTAGGACTTAAGTGTCAGTGTATTTCAAAAGATTAAAATCTTTCAGGGTATATTTTCTGACCATAATAAAAGTAAATTTGAACTACATGATAATAAAATGACTACATATTGATGTCCTGCAGAAAAATCACATGCTTTTTAAAATTGTGGGATGAAACCAAAGTAGTCATTACAGTAAAATTTTTTGTTTTAAATGTTAATGTTAGAAAAGAAAAAGGTCTAAACCTAAGCTTCCATTTAAGGAGCTAGAAGAAGAGCAAATTAAATCCAAAGTAGAAAGAAGGAAATAATAAAGAAGTCAGAAATAAGCGAAATAGAAAACAGATGAAAAAGATCAATAAAGTTGATAAATATCTAGCTAGATTGATCAGGGATTTTAAAAATGTTACTGATTATATATTGAATCAAGTTGTGCATTCCTAGGCCTTCACAGGGAAAAAAGGACACAGATCTGTGTTCGAATGTCTGTCTCTGCTACTTAGCTGTATAATCTTAAGATTATAATCTAACCCCTCTAAACTCTAGTTTCCCCATCCGTATGATGGATTGATAACGCCTACTTTATCAGGTCATTGTGAAAATTAAAGATACATGAAAATACTGAACTTGTTCTTAGTTCACAGATTCTCTTACATTTGCCACACTTCTTACTTAGCTTTTGTTGTAGGTTATCCTGTGTATCTGACTTAGCAAACAAAGGTTGCTTTTTGCTTTGTGACTTAAGGTTGGAATATCTCCTACTACTCCCCTGTCCACCTTGGACCAGAAAAAAAATCCCATTATGATGCTAGTCATCTGCCTGTGGCATTTGGAGAATTTAAGAAGGTATAGAAATTGACAGCTTTGGGCCGGGCGCGGTGGCTAATGCCTGTAATACCAGCACTTTGGGAGTCCAAGGAGAGTGGATTACCTGAGGTCAGGAGTTCAAGACCAGCATGAGCAACATGGAGAAATCCCTAAATACAAAATTAGCTGGGCCTGGTGGTACATGCCTGTAATCCCAGCTACTTGGGAGGCTGAGGCAGGAGAATCACTTGAAGCCAGAAGGTGGAGGTTGCAGTGATCTGAGATCACGCCATTGCACTCCAGCCTGGACAATGAGAGCGAAACTGCATCTAAAAAAAAAAAAAGAAAGAAATTGATAGCTTTGGCAATACCAAAATGTTCACCGAAGGAAATAAACTATTGTTTATGTTATACAAGATGTGTAACTTATCGGTGAGGTGAAAAGGTAAAGTAATGCTTATCCTTAAAAGCTAAGACTTAAGTCATCTCAGATAAAGCTAATACTCCCATCTTGGCCTCTTCTGTTCTCACAATCCTTCTGCAGGACTTCATTGACTTAACTAGAGAGACCAGACCAAGGCCAAAAGATCACAGTGGACTTTGTGTGATTGACCTGACAAGAGCTGAGGAAGAAAATAGACCTATTGCCACTCTTGACTTAACTTTAGAACCTGTCACTCCTTCCCAGAAGGAGCCAACCAGTCTTCAGACATGTGCCAGCCTCTCCGGCAAAAAGGTGTTGGAAGGGCAGGTGGACAGAAGCTCGCAGCCTACGGCACAAAGAATCATTAACAGTCATCCTGTATGTTTGGACCTAGTGGAAGAAAACTTTGTAGGTCCCCTACCCCCTACATTCATCAGTGGAGGCTCTGTTTATCCAACGGAGCCTAATTGTAGCTCAGCTACATTCACTGGTAACCTCAGCTTCTTGACAGGCCTACAGCTGTCTTCAGATGTTAGCTCCCTCTCCCCAACAAGCAATAATAGTAGCAGCAGCAGCAGCCAAAGGGCACCTTTGCTATGCCCACAGCAAGATGTGCCTCGCCCACCACAAGCCTTGCCGTGTCCACTGAGAACCTCACCATGTCCACCACGAGCCTCCTCTTGCCCACCACGAGCTTTGTCATGCCCATTACAAACCATGCAGTGCCAAGTGCCAGCTCTAACTCACCCACCTCAAGAAGTGTCATGCCCTCAGCAAAGTATGCCAAGCCCACCTCAAGACTCATTATGGCATCCTCAGCACTCACCAAGCCCACCTCAAGACTCTCTGGGCTTACCTCCTCAAGTTGTACCAGGCCCACCTCAAAGGATATTACATCCACAAGATGTGACATACCTGCAAGACATGCCACAGTCACCAGGAGATGTGCCACGGACACCAGGAGATATGCCACAATCACCAGATGTACCACAGTCACCAGGAGATGTGCCACAGTCACCAGGTGATGCTCCACCATCACCAGATGCACCCCAGTCACCAGGGGGCATGCCACACTTTACAGGAGATGTATTATATTCACCTGGAGACATGCCACACTCATCAGGGGAGGTGCCACACTCACCTCAAGACATGCCTCACTTTCCAGGAGACAGGCCTGACTCTACCCAGAATGATATACAGAACCAGGACATGCCTATGGATATCTCAGCTCCATCCTCTCCAAGCTGCTCTCCCAGCCCACAGTCCCCACAGTCTGAAACTTCCTTAGAGAAAGTTCCTTGGCTCTCTGTCATGGAAACCCCAGCCAGAAAAGAAATATCACTGTCAGAGCCTTCCAAACCTGGGTTTTCCCATGTACAAGCACGAACACCACAAGGTGGGTTGTACAACAGACCATGCCTGCATAGACTGAAGTACTTCTTACGACCTCCAGTTCATCATCTCTTCTTCCAGACACTAATACCAGATAAAGACACAAGAGAGGTGAGTTAACATCTTCCCCTAGGGATTAGATGTCCTTTTCCTAAGCCTGGGAGAAAGTCAGTGTGACTGGAGTACATGCATGAGAGGACAGGTCAAGCATAAATGAAAATTTTTATCTTTCTTCCACTTGTGAAGACCCATTCAGTGTAGAAGCTCAGATCTGGGTTCAAATTTTAGCCCCACACTTAAAAACTGGGACTTGACCTTTTTGAGCCTTAGCTTTTCTATCTGTAAAGTGGAGATAATAACATACCTCACAGGGTCATATATGTAAAGTACCAGGGTGTTGGGCTCATCTTATATGTAAATTCTTACCTTCTAGCTGGGCATGGTGGCATGCACCTGTAATCCCAGCTACTCAGGAGGCTGAGGCAGGAGAATCACTAGAATCCCGGAGGCAGAGGTTGCAGTGAGCTGAGACTGCACCACTACACTCCAGCCTGGGCCACAGAGCAGGACTCTGTCTCAAAAAAAAAAATAAATATCTTCAACTCTTATGTCTTTCCCTTCCTGATGCCCCTATTACAGCTTCCATACCACAGAGATAATAATACTCTATCACTTAAGGGCCTCCAAAATTACTACTCTGACTCTGGGGGAGGAAATTCAGTTTTAGACATTAGTGGGTATGCTACTTTCCATTGGTCGTCATTGATTTGTGAGAAATAAATTAGATATGTGAGGGAAAATAATTGTGGCTAAGTTCCACAGTATGAACTGTTTTTTTAGTGGTATACATCCCATCCCTCATATTAAGAAAACCAGATTGAAACAGTTCACTGTCAAAGTCAAAACTCGCCTCATTGAAGCAGTGATCCAAGTAGGAAGGATCCAAGTGTTCACACTGATTTGAGCTTAGAGAATGATTTTTTTCTTTTTTAAAATTATTATGTATTCTAATATGTGTTATGTCCTCCTTCTGAATGCCTCTGCCTGACCACTAGCTCATTCTTTTCTTTTGAAACAGAGTCTCACTCTGTTGCCCAGGCTGGAGTGCAGTGGTGTAATCTCGGCTCACTGCAATTTCCACCTCCCAGGTTCAAGCAATTTTCCTGCCTCAGCCTCCTGAGTAGCTGGGATTACAGGTGTCTGCCACTACACCCAGCTAATTTTTTGTTTTGTATTTTTAGTAGAGACAGGATTTCGCCATATTGGCCAGGCTGGTCCTGAACTCCTGATCTCAGGTGATCTGCCCACCTCAGACTCCCAAAGTGCTGGGCTTGTGCCTGGGAGGCAGCCTGGGATTACAGGTGTGAGCCAACATGCCCGGCCCAGACAGTATTTATTATTATGAATAACTTGATGTATTTCCTTTTCAGTTGCCTTTTTATACATAGGCATTTTATATAGTTTAATAATTGGGTTTTTAACATATACACTTACTATTTTTGTTGTTTATGGGGAGTACGGGTTGAAAGAATGGCTCTGAGGTTTATGCCACCTGTGTTTGAAACCAGCTTCTGCCATTTGTTGTATGACAAATGCTTACCCTCCAAATCTCAGTTTCTTTATTTATAAAATAGGAATAAAAATGATACGTATTTCCTAAGATTGTTGTAAGAACTAGTTGAGAATAAATTAAGTGTTCATTGCTGGGTGCAGTGGCTCACGCCTGTAATCCCAGCATTTTGGGAGGCCATGGTAGGTGGGTTGCTGGAACCCAGGAGTTTGAGACCAGCCTGGGCATCATGGTGAAACCCCCTTTATAAAAAATTTAAAAATTAGCCGAATGTGGTGGCACACGCCTGTGTCCTAGCTACTTGGGAGACCAAGGCAGGAAGATTGTTTGAGCCTCGGAGGCAGAAGTTGCAGTGAGCCGAGATCGCACCACTGCACTCCAGCCTGGGAGGCAAAGCAAGACCCTGTCTCAAAATAATATTAATTGCTTAAGGCCAGACACAATGGCTCACATCTGTAATCCCAGCACTTTGGAAGGCCAAGATAGGTTGATAGCTTGAGCTCACGAGTTCGAGACCAGCCTAGGCAACATGGCGAAACCCCACCTCTACTAAAAATACAAAATACTAGCTGGTCATGGTGGCACACACCTGTAGTCCCAGCTACTCAGGAGGCTGAGGTGGGAGGACAGCTTGAGCCTGGGAGGCAGAGGTTGCAGTGAGCCATGATCATGCCACTGAACTCCAGCCTGGGTAACAAGAGCAAAACTCCAGCTCAATAAAAATAAATAAATAAATAAATAAAAATAAAAATAGGAGTTCAGAATTTATTGTTATTAAATCCTCATGTCAATCAAACTTTAAAATTGTTTTCTTCTAATTATAAAAGTAGTAAGTGTCTATTATGGAAAAATTGAATATGGAAGAGCACATAGAGGAAAAATAAACCCTAATTCCACCACCCACATAATAGAAAATCACTTTTCACATATTCTCTCTCAGTCTTTATATGCATATTTTTTGGGGGAAGAAGCAACTTAATATTTATTGTTCTCACAAAAGAAAAATGGAATTCTTCTCCTAACAACCAAATTTAAAACTTCTTTCTTATCTCTCTATTTCAGTAGCTGAGATAGTATCACAGCTACCCCTAAGTCTCTAGTTACCCTCACCCCAAAATCAACCTAGGCTACCTCTTGAACCTTTTGTATTTTTCTGTCTATGCTGTATTTTAACATAGGTTAAATTGTGTTATATGTAGAATTTTGAATTCTTATTTTTTAACTTTAAACTTTTCCCCATGTTATTAAAAGTTTTTTAGATAAAGCTCTTCTTTGTCTGTTTTGAGACAGTCTTGCTCTGTCACCCAGGCTGGAGTACAGTAATGCCATCTCGGCTCACTGCAACCTCCACCTTCCGGGTTCAAGCAGTTCTTGTGTCTCAGCCTTTTGAGTAGCTGGGACTATAGATGCATGCCACCGCACCTGGCTCATATTTGCATTTTTAGTAGAGATGGGATTTCACCATGTTGGCTAGGCTGCTCTCAAACTCCTGACGTCAAGCAATCTGCCTGCCTTGGCTTCCCAGAGTGCTGGGATTATAGGCCACTGCACCCAGCCTCTTATTTTTTTAATTATGAAACATTTCAAATGTCTGGAAAACTTTGCTATCTTCAACCTATTCTAGAACCTCTTGTTTTTGTATACTATAGAAATCCCTCCTAATTTTCTTCTTATCTCTCCAGAACAAGGGTCAAAAATTAGAACCCATCCCTCATCGAAGACTAAGAATGGTAGCAAATACCATTGAAGAGAATTTTCCTCTGGGGACTGTGCAGTTTTTGATGGACTTTGTGTCACCCCTGCATTACCCACCAAGGGAAATTGTGGCTCACATCATCCAGAAAATCTTGCTCAGTGACTCTGAAACTGTGGATGTCCTAAAGGAGGCCTACATGCTTCTCATGAAAATTCAACAGTATGAACCGTAACCTCTGGCTGTTGGTGAATCTTCTAGGGATCTTGGACTCAGGCATAGCTTTCTCTTGACAGGCTTTTTTAACCTAACCTTACAGAGGGTGACTTAGTATATTGGTACTGTTTGAATTGCAGATGATAGGAAACCCAGTCCAAACAGGCCTTAACTATAAAAGAGAATTTAATGGCTCATGTTTCTAGAAACCTAGGAATAAGATGTGACTTGATTCAGTATCAAAAGTGGCTACTAGGATTCATTTTCCAGCTCTACTTTGGTTTTGTTTGGGGGCTGCATATGGTAGCCCTCTCAGCCTCAGGCTTTTTGACACTCCCAGTGGGAGAGAGTGTCTGTTTCCCTTATAGTCACACAAGAGTTCTGAAATTGAGTCTTTTAGGATTTAATTGGCCTAATGAGACACATGACCATATCTTTGAGCCAATCACTGTGAATTGAGGGATGGAATAGCATGATTGGCTAAAAATGTCACATACTTTATTTTGGGGTTCTGGTAGGTAAAACCAGTTGGCTAAGAGTAGTGAAGAATTGGTTTCTTAAGACAAATTTATATATTAATGCTTTCCAGAAGGGGAGTGGACACTGGCTGGCAAAAAACAATGAAGTTTCATTACTCTCAGACTGACATGGTATGATACTAGAGGGTGGGCAAGAGCATGGCGGATAAGAAGAGGTTTCTTCCTTCTGTCACCTTCCAGATCCCATCCCTTCTCCTACTAAATTCTCCATAATTCTAATTAATTTCACTTGAATTTCAGGCTACATCCAGCCAATGCCAAGACAGTGGAGTGGGACTGGAAACTGCTCACCTATGTCATGGAGGAAGAGGTAACAACCATTATGAGGTTATGTCTTCTGCAGGGAAAGTTTAACTATGAAGAAAGGTGACACCAGGTACCATGGCTCACACCTTTAATCCCAGCATTTTGGGAGGCTGAAGCAGGAGGACAGTTTGAGCCCAGGAGTTCAGCCTGGGCAACAAAGTGAGACCCTATCTCTGCAAAAAAATAAAAATAAAAAACTTAGCCGGTCATGGTGATGTATTCCTGTAGTCCCAGCTACATGGGAGGCTGAGGCTGAGGGAAGAGGACCGCTTGAGCCTAGGAGGTCGAGGCCACAGTAATCCATCATCACAACACTGCACTCCAGCCTGGGTGACAGAGCATGACCCTGTCTTTAAGAAAAAAAGAAAAGTAACAGCAAATCTGGTAATAAAGTCTACATCATTATTCCCTCCTGATATTCCCACCCCATGCCAAAAAATTCTTATTGAAATGGTATGTGCTATCTTCCAGTTCAAGATTTAGTACATTTACTTGTCTCTTTTCTTGAGATTCCATTAAGAAGTAACAGTAAATGAATAGAGACAGTTATAAATTGATGGCTGTGAAAAAAGGGGAAGGATAGTAGATGTGAAGGAAGCTTATGGAGACCCACAGAGAATTTAAGAGTGATGACTGATGAAGTTGGGCAGAGAAAGCCACATAATGTAGAGAGGCTATAGCCAAGGAAGGACAATCTTCCCTTTAGAGCACCAGAGAGGTCTTGGACTTAGAAACACAATATCCAATAGAGGGCAGGAGTCAGATGTGGGCTGTTAATGGATATTTTTTTAAAGTTTTTGGATGGAACAGCCAATCTCCTCTTCATTGATGAGGACAGAAGGTTCAGTAGCCAGTTTACCTACCTTCAGGCAAAAATCAGAGAATTTATTGTCTAAAAAAGTTGAATGAACAGTCTATAATAAATAAAGACAGCTGGTACAGAGTTGGTGCTACAGGAAAAAGGTCTTCCACATTCTGACCTTTAGGACTCCCCAGGTTTAATTGCCAACTTTTTGTCTGCTCACCTAAAGCAATTGGCTAAAACAAATTACTTTCAACTTAGAATTCTGTACTTAGCCAAACTATCAGTTAAGTGTGAGGGTAGAATTAAGACATTTCCAGCTTTGCAGGAATTTAAAAATATATCCCCACACCCTGTTTCTTAGGAGATTACCTGAGGTAGTATATCAAAGGAATGAAGAAGTAATCAAAAAAAGTGGGAAGGCATGGGATCCAGGGAACATCAGATTTAATTTAGGAGAATATTGAAGAGAAGTCCCAAGGATATGAATAGCAGACCTAGGGAGCAATTACTCCAGATTGGAATGCAGTAACAAAGGGCTTTAAGTATTAACGATCTGGGAGACATCAGAAAGATGGTAGACTAGGAAGCTCCAGGCCCTTGTTACTCCATGGAGACACTGAATTAACAATATATAAACCAAAATATCGTTGTGAGAACTCTAGCGGAATTAAGGAGCTTCAGTGCCCAGGCCAATGCATAACTATGAATGTACTCTATCAAAAGTGCTAGGAAAGTTTGTAGCATTGTCCATGCCCACATACCTCTCCCTTCCTGGCATAGCATGGTTCAACCAAGAGAAAACCTCCTATACCTTGGCTCCTCCTTTGGGCCAGAAACAAAAGAGTGGACCATGCATGCAATGTACTGGCTTATCTGGGGGCTGCCTGGCTTGTTCCGCCCACCTCAACCTCCCAAAGTGCTGGGATTACAGGCATGAGCCACTGCACCTGGCCTGGAGTTGAAGGCCAAGCTGGGTGTATCACGTGAGGTTGGGAGTTCAAGACCAGTTCACCAACATGGTGAAACCCCATCTCTACTAAAAATTCAAAAATTAGCTGGGCATGGTGGAACATGCCTGCAGTCTCAGCTACTTGGGAGGCTGAGGCACGGAATTGCTTGAACCCAGGAGGCGGAGGTTGCAGTGAGCCAAAATCATGCCACTGCACTCCAGCCTGGGTGACAGAGCAGGACTTCATCTCAAAAGATAAAATAAGTTATGGGTATATAGTATATAAAGATGTAACTTATAACACTGATAACATCAATTGGGATGGAGTAGTAAAGAAGTAGAGGTTTTTGTGTGCAACTGAAGTTGTTAAACTAGATTGTTATAACTTTAAGATATGTTATGTAATCTTAATGGTAACTCCAAGTAAGACCTCTATAGAATACACCCAAAAGGAAATGAGAAACAAATCAAAGCATGTCACTACAAAAAAATCAATGAAAAAATGAAGAAAGGCAACAAGAAAGGAAAGGAGGCCTGAAAAGGCTACAAGACATATAGGAAATAATTATTGTGGCAATAGTAAGTTCTTTTCTGTCAGTAATTATTTTAAATGCAAATAGATTAAAGTCACCAATTAAAAGATAGTGATTAACTGAATGGACTAAGAACCAGCATCCAACTATATGCTATATGCAAGAGTCTCACTTTATATCTTTTCAAATACCAAACTCTTATGGCCAGGTGTAATGGCTCATGCCTGTAATTCCAGCACTTTGGGAGACCAACATAGAGGACTGCTTGAGGAGAGGAGATCAAGACCAGTCTAGACAACATAGAAAGACTCTGTCTCTTAAAAAAAATTATTTTAATTAGTAGGCATGGTAGCACATACCTGTTGTCCCAGGTACTGTGGAGGTTGAGGTGGGAGGATCCCTGGAGCCCAGGAGTTTTAGGCTACAGTAGGCTATCATAGTGCCACTGCACTCTAGTTGGGAAACAGAGGGAGAGAAAGAAAAGGAAAGGAAAGGAAAGGAAGAAAGACTTGCTGAAAGTGAAAGGATGAGAAAAGATATTCCTCACAAATGGTAACCCAAAGAGAGCAAGAGTGGCTATAATAATATAACATGAAAAGTCTTTAAGTCAAAAACTGTTACAAGTGTCAAAGAAGGACATTATGAAATAAAAGAGTCAATTCACCAAGCAGTACAACAGTTACAAATATAAATGTGCCAAACATCAGACCTCCTAAATATATAAAACAAACATTGACAGAATTGAAAGAATAAATAACACAATAATAGTAGGAAATTCAGTACCCCACTTTCAATAATCGATAAAATAACCAAACAAAAAATCAATAAGGAAACAAATTGAACAGTACTATAAGCCACTTTAAACATAGACATGTGCAAAACATTTCACCCAACAATAGCAGAACACACATTCTTCTGAAGCGTACATGGAATTTTTTCCAGTTAAACCACATGTTGGACCACAAAACAAGACTTACAAAATATAAAAAACATTGACATTATACCAATTATCTTCCAATCACAATGGACTGAAACTAGAAATCAGTAGCAGAATGAAATCTGGAAAACCCACAAATATGTGGCAACTAAACAACACACAACAGTGGTTGAGAGAAAAAAAAATCTCATAAGAAATTAAAGATACCTTGAGGTAAATTAAGTAGAGGTTTTTCTGTGCAATTAAAGTTGTTAAACTAGAATGACATAAATCTGGAGGTGAAAGTTTGTACACTGAAAACTACAAAATATTGTTGAAAGATATGAGACACCAATAAATGGTAAGGCTTCCTATATTCATGGAGTGGAAGACTTAATATGGTTAAGATGTCAGTACTACCCAAAGTGATCTACAGGTTCAACAAAATTCTCATCAAAATCCCAACAGCATTTTTTTTTTTTTTTTTGGAGAAATAGAAAAATCCATCCTAAAATTTATATTGAATTCTAAAGGGGTTCAATTTGAATTTTATTGGGACACCAACTTTCAGAAATTAGTGTCTTTAGCCAGATGTGATGGTGGGCAGCTGTAATCTCAGCTACTCAGGAGGCTGAGGCAGGAGAATTGCTTGAACCCAGGAGGCAGAGGTTGCAGTGAGCTGAGACCACACTACTGCACTCCAACCTGGGTGACAGAGTAAGACTCTGTCTTAAAAAAAAAAAAAAAAAACAGTTGGTATCTTGCAAAGGATACCAAATAGCCAAAGCAATCTTGAAATAAAAAGAACAAAGTTGGAGTTCTCACCCTTCTTGACTGTAAAACATAAAGCTACAGTAATCAAAACAGTGTGGTACAAGCAAAAAGATAGACATATGGAATAAAGAGCCCAGAAATAAACCTTTGAGTACATGGTCAAGTGATCCTCATTAAGGGTGCCAGGACTACTCAGTGGTGAAAAGACAGTCTCTTACAGTCTTTTAGTGTCATAGGAAAAAGTGGATATCCACTTGCAAAAGAATGAAGTTGGGCTCTTAACATATAAAAATTAACCCAAAATGCATTAAAGACCTGAATATAAGACTCAAATCTATAGAATTAATTGAAGAAAGCTTGGGGGAAGGTTTCATGATGTTGGATTTGGCAATCGATTTCTTGAATATGACATCAAAAGCACAGGCAGCAAAAATAGACAAATAGTTCTACATTGAACTTCAGAACTTCTATGCATCAACAGAGTGAACAATAAAAATAAAAAGTAGAATAGAGTAAAAATACAGCCGATGAGATGGGAGAAAATATTCGTAAATCATATATCTGATGAGGGTTAATATCCAGAATATGTAAAGAACTCCAGCAACTCAAAAACAAATAAATAACCCAATTTAAAAATGGACAGAGCACTTATATAGACATTTCTCCAAAGATGATATACAAATGGCCAACAAACTTCTGAAAAGATGCTCTATAACTCGGCAGTAGAGGTATGCACATCAAAATCACAATGCAATGTCACCTCATACCCTTTAGAATGGCCACTATTTTTTAAAAAACAAAAATAAGTGTGGGCAATGATTTGGAGAAATTAGAACCTTTGTGCACTCTTGGTGGGATTGTAAAGTGGTACAACTGCTATGGAAAACAGCATGAGGAAGTGGGAAATGGGAACTTGTTCAGTGGTTATAGAGTTTCAGTTTTGCAAGATGGAAAGTTGTGGGGATCTATTATAGGACTGTGAATATACTTAGCATTACTGAAATGTACACTTAAAAGTGTTTAAGATAGTAAATTTAATGCTAATGTGGTTTTTATCAAAATTTTTAAACATTTTTTAAAGAAAAGAAAACAGACAATAACAAACATTACCAAGAATGTGAAGAACAGTAAGTCTCATACATTGCTGGTAAGATGTAAATAGTACAGGCACTTTGGAAAACGGTTTGACAGTTTCTTTAAAGTTGAATACAAATTTATCATTCACCCTATCTATTCCAATTCTAGATACAGACCCAACAAAAATGAAAACCCCTGACAACCAAAGACTTACATGTGAATGTTCATAGTAGAGTTAGGCATAATAGCCAAAATGTGAAAATAACCCAAATGTTCATCAGCTGGTGAATGGATGAGCAAAATGAAATACTATTCAGTAATAAAAACCAGTGAGTTATTGATGCTTACTATCATATGGGCAAACCTAAAAAAAAAAATTAAGCTAAGTGAAAGAAACCACACACAAAATATTGCATATTATATAATTCTATTTATAAGAAATGTCCAGGAAAGGCAAATCTAGAGAGACAGAAAGCAGATGAGTGGTTGCCTTGGCCTGGTGATTGGAAAAGGAACTTAAGTGCCCATGAGGCCATCTTCTGGAGTGATGGAAATGTTCTAAAAAGTAGATAATGGTAATGTTTGCACAACTCAGTAGGTTTACTACAAATCATTTAATTGTACTTTTAAAATAGCTGAATTTTATGATATGTTAATAAAGTTGTTTTATTTCATGTAGTTTTGAAACAGGGTCTCTTGCTGTGTCGCCCAGGCTGGAGTGCAGTGGCATGATCATAACTCAATGCAGCCATGACCTCCTGAGCTCAAGTGATCCTCCTACCTCAGGTTCTTAAGTAGCTAGGACTACAGGCACACACTATCATGCCTGGCTAATTTTTTTATTTTTATTTTTGTAGAGATGGGGTCTTGCTATGTTTCCTGGGCTAGTCTTGAACTCTTGGCCTCAGATGATCCTCCTGCCTCAGCCTCCCAAAGTTCTGAGATTACAGGCATGAGTGACTATGTTCAGCTGACATGATATTTAAAAATAAAAAAAGAGAATCATTTGGGAAAAAAGGGATATTCTCAAGATTCAGCACTATTCTTGAGGAGTTGAAAGAGGTATATTATAATGAGAAATAGTTAAAGGAGTGGGGAAAAAAAACTTCACAAGAAAGGGATGATTTTCTAGTATATTATAAGGATTTACTAAAAGTATTTAGTAAATACTTTTAACATAATCCTGATACTGTAAACACTAGTTGTAATATTTAGAATCAATTTATATACAAAGCATAGGAGACAATTTTATTAGCCTTGGCAATGTAGAATGGAAGTATAGAAGATAAAGGTTGAGAGATGAAAAGGGACAGGACCTCTGAAAATAGTAGGGCTGGCATAACATTTATATCTTCCAAAATGGGGGGTCAAGAGATACTGTCTATAGATGATGGAGATATATTTATTTTAGAAAGAGAAGAGGTGAGAGATTGGCTTAAGTAAGTTAAATTCTTATCTAGCGGAACAGAAACCAATAGGTAATGTCTACAGTTGATAAATAAAGAAATCATAATAAAAGCCTATTTCCTTAGAGATGTTTATGGTGACTTCTAGAAGAATGAATTAAAAATTATTCTAGGATACTGGAGAAGACAAGTAGTGGTCGAGAGTGGTGTCAGTAGAAGACTTTCTTTTTATCAAAAGTCTAGCACAAGTACTTGATTTTTTTAAAAAGCATTTGTATGCTTTTTAAAGCATACAAATTTAAGGTATCAAGGATTAGAGAAAAATAACACATTTGGAAGACATTGTTACCTCCTCCCAAAAAATAAAGAAATGATATGTACTTAGAATGGTTATTTAGTTTCCTACTGACTGAATCGTATCCTAGTCCCTTGGTTTACATTCTGGGAAAATATACCTATTCCTGGAGTTTGGAGGTTTCCACATAGTCCAGAAATAGTCTGGTGCCTTCTTGTTCTTTCAAGTTTGAAGCCTAAGCTCTCAGCATTTGTCTCCTAGTAAAGGGGAACCAACAAATTGTGCATGCCTGCCTACTGTGTGACAAGTACTTATGGTAAGGTTAGAATTATCCCCATGTAAACTACAAGGACACTAAGACCTAGAGGGGTTAATAAGGGACAGAGCTAGGTCTAAAACAAACAGCAACAAAAACTGAATGTTTCGTGCCTCTAAAGCCCATGCTCTTTAACTGTTTGTCAGGATCATTTTCATCTGTAACAGAATACCCAACTCAGGCTTGGCCCAACCATCAAGTTGAGCCAAGTCAATAGCCTTGGCTCAATCAGCACACATGACTGGAAGTTCATCAGGAGAGTGGACATCATGGCAGTGTGATCTAGCAGCACAGCAGTCATTAAAGAACCAGTTTCTCTTTCTCTCTTCTGCCATCCATAGTTTTGGGGTTATCCTGAGGTTGATAGGTTCCGTGACAGGGAGAGATTGACTTCCCCTGGCTGTCTTTTAAATCAAGTGATTGACAATCCTAGAGATTCCAGTAGATATCTGGTTGCAGCTTAGGTGTTAGAAAATTATGAGTATCAGCAAATGTCTAGATCTTTCAAATAAGTAATAATACTTGAAAATTTTTTAAAAAATGGTTTCTGAAACCTTATAAGGTATGGTTCTTTCAGCAGTCACCCTATTTTTCCTCTCTCATAATGACCCAGACTACCTGCCATCTCCGGGGGCCTCTCTTTTAAGCACAGGCATACTAGCTGATGCATGGCCTTCTCTTGGACTTGCTATTTATGAGAGCCTGATGTTAACTGTCATCCAGGAGACTGAGAAGAAAGACTGACTTCTCATTCTTTTTCCTACAGGGACAAACTCTGCCTGGGCGAGTTCTTTTCCTGCGTTATGTAGTTCAGACCCTGGAAGATGACTTCCAGCAGACCCTGAGGAGGCAACAGCAGCACCTGCAGCAGTCCATTGCAAACATGGTGCTGTCCTGTGACAAACAACCCCACAATGTCAGGTAAGCAGCCACCTGAGCCCTGGGATAAGAAGAGGTAAGGGATATAGGTGGGCAGCTGCTGAAGGCTAGAGAATATCAGCTGGAAGAGGTTTTCTAGTCAGTAGATAGTGTAATAAGGCTAATTATTAAAACTATAGATAGGCCAAGTGCAGTGGTTCACATCTGTAGTCCCAGGACCTTGGGAGGCCCGGTCGGGCGAATCACTTGTGGTCAGGATTTCGAAACCAGCCTAGACAACGTGGCAAAACCACGTCTCTACTAAAAATACAAAAATTAGCAGGGCGTATTGGCGCATGCCTGTAATTCCAGCTACTTGGGAGGCTGAAGTGGGAGAATCACTTGAACCCAGGAGGTGGAGGTTGCAGTAAGCTGAGAATATGCCATTGAACTCCAGCTTGGGTGACAGCAAGACTCTGTCTCAAAAAAAAATAATTAATTTAAAAAATAAAACTATAGATAATCATAAACAAACCCCTCCTGATAATCATAAAAGAAACCAACAATGTGGCAGGTTCCACATAGCTTGAGTGATTTTTCTCTCAAGACCAACAGACTTCCTTTGGACTATTTCGATACTGTCCAAACAACATTATGAGATCCAGGGGAAAACCCTAACTTACATAAAACTTTTTCATTTTTATTAACATGCATTTGTTTCCATCCTCCTGATGAACCTCACTATAAATCTCATTTGTCACTCTTAGTTTCTGAAAAGTAATATTCATAACAATAGGTCATGTGGCTGACAGTACGGTGCAATAGATAGTAAGCATATGTTCTTTTTTTGCAGAATCAGAGCTTCAGGAAGCATGGAATCACTATGCTTATACCAAGAGGGGAAAATATGATCTTTAGGGTAGGGATTTTAGGCTGGAATTTTCCTTTTGGAACTACAAACAGCCCTGACTCTTGAGGGTTTGACTTAGGATTTTTTTTGGCTTTACATTGATACAGAAGTAATACCCATTCAGTAGAAACCACACCTCAAATACCCAATAAGCACTCTGTTTTTCATTTTCAGTATAGTACTCAATAAATTACATAAAATATTCATCACTTCGTTATAAAATAGGCTTTGTGTTTGATGATTTTGCCCAAACTGTAAGCTGTCAGTGTCCTGATCACATTTAAGGTAGGCTGGACTAAGCTACAATGTTCAGTAGATTGGGTGCCTTAAATGCCTTTTCAACTTAGAATATTTTCAACTTATGATGGTGTCTTAGTCCCTTTATGTTGCCATAAAGGAATGCCTGAGGGTGGGTGATTTATAAAGAAAAGAGGTTTATTTGGCTCTCAATTCTGCAAACTGTACAAGAAGCATGGCTCCAGCATCTGCTTCTGGTGAGGGCTTCAGGAAGCTTCCATTCATGGCACAAGGTGAAGGAGAGCTGAAGTATCACCTGGCAAGGGAGGAAGGAAGATGGGGCAGGGGGATAGTGCCAACCTCTTTCAAACAACTGGCTCTCAAGTGAACTAATAGAGTGAGAACTCACTCATTACCATGAGTACAGCATCAAGACTTTTATGAAGGATCTGCCTCCATGACCCAAACATCTTCTGCTAGGCTCCATCTCCAACACTGGGGATCACATCAAAATGAGATTTGGAGGGGACAGATATCCAAACTATATCAGGTGGGTTTATCCAGATGTAACCCCATTGTAGTTTAAGGATCATCTAAACATTCTTTGCTTTTTTGGAAATGGCTCTTACTAAAAGGGCGTACCAGCATCTCTTTGTTCAGAGCAGCACTGAAGGCTGGACTAAGCTACGATGTTCAGTAGATTGGATGCATTAAATGCCTTCTAGTCATATTTATGTTCTCATGTGTTCTTACACATTTGTTGAAAGTAGTATTCACAGGTTAACATGGGTCATTGACTATGATAAATCCTCTAATTAAAAAGGAGGACATTTTGTTATGTTTTGGGTATTGGTCAGTTTTCCCACACCCTTAGTTTGCATGTCCATATTCATTTCCCTATATGTGGTATTTTATCTAAAGATTAAATTGTAATAATTTTAGGGGTACAAAATTAGTAAGTAGAGAATTGACAAAGAGCACAAGACAGTATAGTTGAATTTTAAAGTGAAAAGTTTGCCGGGTATGGTGGCTTATGCCTGTAATCCCAGCACTTTGGGAGGCTGAGGTGGGTGGATCACGAGGTCAAGAGATTGAGACCATCCTGGTCAACATGGTGAAACCCCGTCTCTACTAAAAATACAAAAAATTAGCTGGGCATGGTGGCGCGTGCCTGTAATCCCAGCTACTCAGGAGGCTGAGGCAGGAGAATTGCCTGAACCCAGGAGGCGGAGGTTGCGGTGAGCCGAGATCGTGCCGTTGCACTCCAGTCTGGGTAACCAGCGAAACTCCGTCTCAAAAAAACAACAAAAAAAGACCAGCCTGGCCAACATGGTAAAACCTCATCTCTACTAAAAATACAAAAATTAACTGGGCATGGTGGCATGTGCCTGTAATCCCAGCTACTTAGGAGATTGAGGCAGAATTGCTTGAACCTGGGAGGCAGAGGTTGCAGTAAACAGAGATCACACCACTGCACTCTAGCCTGGGTGACAGAGTGAGACTATGTCTCAAAAGCAAATAAAAACTAAATTTTAAAAAGTGAAAAATAATTTACGTAATGAGAACAATTCCATCTACCATTATGCTTTGTGAGCCTAGGCATTAGAGTGAGTGGGATACACGAGGTACTGTTCTCTTGGTTGCTTTCATTTTCACCTCTTGTGGTGTGAGTCTCTCACTGTACAGGGTGTGACTCTTGCGATTAAAGACAGGCATTTAAGGCCAGGCGCAGTGGCTCATACCTGTAATCCCAGCACTTTGCGAGGCAGAGGTGCGTATCACTTGAGGTCAGGAGTTTAATACCAGCATAGCCAACATGGTGAAACCCCATCTCTACTAAAAAATACAAAAAAAAAAAAAAAAGACAATTTTCCAGGCGTAGTGGCAGACACCTGTAAACCTAGCTACTTCAGAGGCTGAGGCAGTAGAATTGCTTAAACCCAGGAGATGGAGGTTGCAGTGAGCCGAGATTGCGCCATTTCACCACAGCCTGAGCAACAAGAGGGAAACTCCGTCTCATAAATAAATAAAGGCATTTTAGGCCAGGCATGGTGGCTGAGGCCTGTAATCCCAGCACTTCGGGAGGCCAGGGTGGGCAGATCACATGAGACCAGAAGTTTGAGACCAGCCTGGCCTCAAAACCCCATCTCTACTGAAAATACAAAAATAGCCAGGCATGGTGGTGCACTTCTGTAATCCCAGCTATTCAAGAGGCTGAGGCATGAGAATCGTTTGAACCTGGTAGGCAGAGGTTACAGTGAGCTAAGACTGCACCACTGCATTCCAGCCTGGGCAACAGAGCAACACTGTCTCAAGAACAAAACAATGACAGAAACAAAGATAGGCATTTTTGAGGGGTGTTTGTGACCTCTAAATCTAAGCCAGGTCCTCTGTTTTGTGCTTACTCAATGAAAAAAATATCATTTGTTTCAGTTGGCAGGAAAATGAGCTATCTTTGATTCATTAAGTAATGGATATTAGACTGAGGTGGTGGTTACAAGGATGTATTCATATATTTATCTAAATTCATCAAACAAAACTTTGGCAATTTATTGTATGTAAATTATACCTCAAAGAGGAATTTTTTAAAAGAGCGATGGTCAGTCAGACTCCATATAACCCCCTCTTAAGGGATTTTCTTTTCTTTCTTTCATTTAGAACTATGCATACAAAGAATAGACTAGCTTCTACAAGACTTCAGAAATATACTTGTCTCCAGTTCCCCTCACTTGCATTTCCCTTTCTCTTTAATTGTTTTTTTTATATTTACCTCTATATGGCAAAATAACATGCTTACAATGCTGCTTCTTGATTTTTTTCAATGTTTGCCATTATCTGTTTACTTCCCATGTGAAAGATAAGGAGTTCACTCTTTTTCCTCCCCACATTCCCTATCTCACACATATTTCCCAGCTCCTATATGTTTAATATAATTATATTATAATTTTTTATATCAGTGTTCAATGTTTTTATTGCTATGACTATGTATGCTAATCAGAATTTAGCTAAGTACTAAACCGTGATTGCTTTTCCTTTTATTCATGTCTTTTTGTTTTCCCTAAGGTTAATAATTGTCCTGTTTTTAACTTTCTGGCTTTCCTTTACATATCAGAATTCAAATTCTCTCCTAGTTATGTTACTGGTGGAGGGTTTCCAGGTTCTTGGCATGTTAAACAAAGAATTGGACAAAACATACAAAAAAAGCAAGGAAAGAATGAAGCAACAAAAGCAGAGATCTATTGAAATTGAAAGCACACTCCACAGGATGGGAGTAGTCCCAAGCAAGTTACTCAAAAGCCTAGTTACAGAATTTTCTGGGGTTTAAATACCCTCTAGAGGTTTCCCATTGGTTACTTGGTATATACCCTATGGAAATGAAGTAATAGCCCACGATTAGTTAGATTAATTGTGGGAGGGGACCAGTCAGAAGCTGAAGTGAAGTTACAAAGTTAAATACTCCCACATATGCAAGTGAAGACTTGGCCCATGACCAACCTGATTCTTGGCCCATGACCAACCTGATTGGTTGTAGGAGGGGACCAATCAGAACTACTTTGAATTTTTCATCTGCCAGGCAGAAAAGGCAGGGAAAGGGGTGGGTTGCAAAGGGAGTAGCCTCTGGTCCTTTTGTTACTTGGGCATGGAAAGTTGGGGTTTTCCTTTTGATTTAGTTATAGGAATTCAACATGAATTGGCCTTAGGTTTCCTGCCTCCGGACCCTATTCTCCTGCTTCAGTTGGTTTCAGTCTCCCCTCAAGATATTTATTCACACTGGGTTGTCTTACTAGTTTCTTCTTCTCAAAAGTCTGAGGTAGAATGTTTTGATCTCCTTCATTCTGGATCAGTCGTCCTCTTTTCCAGTCTTCATTGTAAATTTGATCATCCCCTTTAATGCTTTTCAAGGTTGGATAACTTGTATATTTGTTCTTTCTCTTGTGGCTCATACCTTCATTTAAGGAATCCATTCCTAGTAGCTTTCTAAGAAAGGTATATGGGAAGTAAAGTTTTTGAGATCTTGTTTGTCTGAAAATGTCATTTATTTTCTCACACATTGATTGATAATTAGGCTGAGGATAGATCATTTGCTTAGAAATAACTTTCCTACAGAACATCAAAGGAAATCTTCCATTGTCTTCTGGCTTCCGGAATTGCTGTTAAGAAGTTATAAGTAGCCAGGTGTGGTAGCTCATGCCTGTAATCTCAACACTTTGGGACGCCAAGGTGGGTGTATCACTTTGAGCTCAGGTGTTTAAGACCAGCCTGGGCAACATGGCAAAACCCCATCTCCACCAAAACTACAAAAAATTAGCTGGGGGTAGTGGCGCACACCTGTGGTCTCAGATACCTAAGAAGGCTGAGATAGGAGGATCACTTGAGCTTGGGAGGCAGAGGTTGCACTGAGCTGAGATTATGCCACTGCCCTCCAGCCTGGGTGACAGAGCAAGACCCTGTCTAGGGGAGAAAAAAAAAGAAGTTATAAGCTACTTTGATTACTGATTCTTTGTATGTGCCCTGGTTTTTCACTATGGAAATTTGTAAAGTTCTCTTTTTGCCAAATATGCCTGTCCTAGGTTTATATTCATCCATTGTGTTGGGCATTCAGTGGGCCATTTCAGTCTGGAAAAATATCCTATATTTCTAATAAATAGGGTTTTTCACTTTTGTTACTATCTTTCTAATTTCTAAGAGCTCTTTTATTTTTTTCTCTGCATCTTCCTTATTAAAATTAATAAATAAGCCAGACATGGTGGCATGTGCATGGAGTCTCAGCTATTGGAAAGGCTGAGGCAGAAAAATCACTTGAGCTCAGGAGTTCAAGACTATAGTGAGCTATGATGACATCAAATAGGCTGGGCACAGTGGCTTAGGCTTGTATCATAGCACTTTCAGGGGCCAGAGTGGAAAGATTGCTTGAGGCCAGGAGTTCAAGACCAGCCTGGGCAACATAGCAAGAGCCTGACTCTGCAAAAATAGAACTTTCTGGCTTTCCTTTACATATCAGAATTATAAACTGTATTCTATTCTTATTTCCTTTTTTCCTGGATCCATATCATTTCATATCTTTGATTTTGCTAATCAGAATTTTCATTTTTGTTTATTCTCTGATTCTCTTCTACATAATATCTGTCTTTTCCACATTGCTGTTTTGGAAGGAAGGAGGGGCTATTTCAGCCTCTATCTCTTACGTTAGAAGTTTTCGATAGATATCTGGTAAACCTTGGTAGTCTATAGTCTATAGTCTATCCATATTTAAAGGTGCGAGACTCAAAAGATAATGGAAGCTCTGAAGACATGGGAGGACTTGTCATTTCTGCACTTCCCTATAAGTGAAACTGATTTCTCATTTCTAAGAAAATTTCTTAAGTCAAGGTCTTAACTTGGGCTGGTTCGGTTTTACAGAGAAGACATTCAACCTCTTAAATGAAGGATGAAGACAGGATGCCAGGGTTTTGGAAGACGTGTGAGAAGACAGCACGGGTCTCTGCATTCAGCATGCATATGTTCATTTAGTGTCCCATTTACTTCAGTGTCTGCCTCCAGGCCGTGCCTGGTGTCCCAGTCAGAGACCCTCTGTTTTACCTCTCCACAAAGTTAACTTGTAGTCTACAGGATTGGGGAAGATCTAGAGGTCTAAAAATTTTTTTCAAGCCATGCTTTTTTTTCTTTTTCTTTTTTTTTTTTTTTTTTGAGGCAAGGTTGCCCAGGCTGGATTGCAGCAGCTCAATCACAGCTCACTGCAGCCTTGACCTCCCTGGGCTCAGGTGATCCTCCCACCTCAGGCTCTTGGGTAGCTGGGACTACTGGCATGTGCCACCACGCCCTGCTAATTTTTTTTGTATTTTTAGTAGAGACAGGGTTGCACCCTGTTGCCCAAGCTGATCTCAAACTCTTGGACTCAAGCAATCTACCCACCTCAGCTTCCCAAAGTGCTGGGATTACAAAAATGAGCCACCATGCCCCACCTCCTCCTACTTATTTTGATTTACCCCTCTTTCACCCTCACTTCAGAGAAACCTAGTGCTACGGTTTGCAGAGCTTATTGAAGTTTGTTTTATTTCCTTTCTTTTTGTATTTTGTATTTTAAGTAAATAGAATTAAATAGGATAAGTCTTCCCTGCTGCTGGCGTAGGATTCAGCTTTCTCAATTCCACTATGGCAATTAAAACATATTCCTTTGCCTAAGTCATAGGCTTGGATTAAACATCATTTTAAAACAAGATACAGTGGCTTTATTTGCTTAGTTAAGGTTGCCTTTAATTTTGTAATCAGCATCTCTCAGCCTACTCCCAAATCTAAGAGTAGGCCCTTGACAATTACCTCACCCCTCATCCGTCAGCCTGAGTAAGTAGCAAGAATCCATCTCTGTACCCCTCATCACCCACCTTGCACCCGAGGTGATCATCATTCTGCATTGTCGTTATTTCTTTTGTTTCTATGTAGTTTTATTGCATATACATATATTCCTACAAAATACATATTGTAACTTTAGTTCCTTTAGCATTATATTAAAAGGTATCATGCTATATGTAATCTGTTGAGAATTTTTTCACTTACTATTTTATAGTACCAGGATTTGTCCATATTGTTGCCTGTCACTGTAATTTATTCATGTTGACTACTATGTAATACTCTGTGAGTATCCTTCATTTGCCTTCCACCTTTCAAAATTTCACTGCTATCATCTTCTCTCCTCTTTTCTTCCTTGTGGATATTTTTCAAAAGTTATTTATTGGCTGGACGCAGTGGCTCACGCCTATAATCCCAGCACTTTGGGAGGCCAAGGTGGGTGGATCCACGAGGTTGAGAGATCGAGACCATCCTGGTCAACATGGTGAAACCCCCATCTCTACTAAAGATACAAAAATTATCTGGGCATGGTGGCACGTGCCTGTAGTCCCAGCTACTCGGGAGGCTGAGGCAGGAAAATTGCTTGAACCCAGGAGGTTGAGGTTGCAGTGAACCGAGATCGCACATTGCACTCCAGCCTGGGTAACAAGAGCGAAACTCCGTCTTAAAAAAAAAAAAAAAAAATTACTTATTATAATATTAGTGGGGTTTTAGGAGGGAACAAAATTAGGTGTGTATATTCAATCTACTGTTTTTACATAGGTTACCTAAGAGATCATTAAAAATAGTTTTGAGTATATGAGATGTTTTTACCTTACTAACTTGTAGAGAGCCTCAGCCCTGTATAAAGTATGATTCCACTGCACACACTCTAAACCTTAGTTGTTAACATTAATAGATGACAATAATGTAGAACTAGCAAGCACTTCTGTGGTCATCCAGCCCAACTTTCCACTTAGTTAAGAAATGTCCCTGGTCAGGAAGGCACAGATAGTACTGTTTGACCCTAGAGTTACCTTTGAGTACTCACTTATAACTCAAAACATTAATTTGCTTTTACTTATAAAGCAAAACATTAATATTTTAGTTCGCTTTTTTTTTTTTTTTTTTTGGTAGAGATGGGTTCTTGCTATGTTGCTTAGGCTGGTCTCAAACTCCTGGTGTCAAAAGATCCTCCCACCTTACCCTCCCAAAGTGCTGGGATTATAAGCATCAGCCACCATGCCTGGCCTTTAGTTGACTTTTATAGTCTTACTGCAGTTAAATGTGATATTTATATTAGACTTGTTTAATTATTGAAAATACCAAAGGGCCCTTTTGTTGCTTGTAGGGAAATCCAGGGATCTGGGTAATTCTGAGTACCAGAAATACAACAGGCATTTTAACGTTTATTTTTTTTTTCTGCACAGGAAAAGAAAGAATAAACCTTTTCTTTATTTTTTCCATTTCAGGGATGTTATCAAGTGGCTGGTCAAAGCAGTAACTGAAGATGGATTCACTCAGCCCTCAAATAGAAATCAAATGTCTTCAGGAACAGGAATCTTGAAGGCCGGCAGTGGCCACCCTTCTTCCCAGCCCAACAGGACAAAGAACACCAATCAGCTGTAAGGGGCAGGCAATTATCTTTCCTGGGGCTCTTGGGATTTAGTATTTTAGAGAACAGCACCAATCCCTAAGAGCAGCTTCCCCCAAATTAACAAGATCTTAGAACATAGGGTGATGCTTATTCAAGACTGAACTAAAGGCTAAATTTCTAATTCCAAAGGTAAAACAAAACTAGGTGCTTTTACCTCTAAAATGATTAGGACTTCACTAAGTGAATACGAAGTCACAACACAGACGTGAAACAAACACTAGAGGACACTGCCCTTTGTTTCCTGCATTTCAGGATAAGTAAAGGGTTACAGCTTCTCATCACTTCAGGTGTCCATTGCCATAGAGAAGGAGTGATGTGCAGTATGAGTTTTGTCAACCTGGAGTCCTCAAGGACCTGGGTTTCTCTCCCCAGGTCTTGGGAGAAAAATGGCAGTTCAGCGTGCAGGTTCCAACACACCAAGGCAGGCCTTATTACCATAGACTGCTCTGGAAAGAAATTCACGGCATTTCTTTTATGGGGTTAAGAGTGGCTTTGGCATTTTTTGAGAGATCCCAGGATTTTAGGGGCTAGGGCTACCCTTATACAAATAACTCAGTATTGCATGTCAATTATACTGTTAAAAGCCAGTCACACTGGACATTTCAAATATAGCATTTGTGTCTGATTTCACAATATTATATTACAATCTTGTTGAACCAACCTGATTTTTATGTAAGGCCTACAAGTTTAGATTGTTTCCTAAATTATAACTAATTATAACTAATTTAGGAAACAATTTTATATCTAAAGGGGAATGTTGGGAACAATGAAGCATTTGGGCAGATTGAGAAAGTCCCTAAAGTGGCATTCTCCCACAGGTGCCACATGCAGACTCAAGAGGGAAGTGGACACTGTTCCTTCCATGGAAGCTAATATCACATAATAATTATAATAATAAATATTTATAAATACATGTTAGTAGAAATAACAGTAGGGCCCCCTAAAAGTCAATTTTGTTATGATCTTATAGACTGCTATCACTTATCACTAGAGAGTCCCTGTCTGTGAGATATTTTATATATCACTCACAGGTTTACAAAATAGATGATATTATTGCACATCCTTTTGATAGCTGAGAACACTTGGACTCAGAGCAGTTTAGTAACTTGTTGAAGGTTGAACAGCTTATGATTGTAGAGCCAGAATCTGAGGCCAGAGCTCCTGATCTGGCCCACCTGTTGTGTTACTAGCTGCAGGTTTTCTGAAAGTAAAGCCTTTCTTCCATCACAAATAACACATTAGAAAAGGCTGATGTCAGGCCAGGCTCACCTTTCTGAGAGGTTGCCCAGACTCCTAATGCCACATCAGTCTGGCTCTGCCACAGTTAGATCTAATAGGAGAGAAGGTCAGGTTCCACCAGGGGAGGTTCTGAGACTGAACTTAGTAAGAAACTATTGTAAAGGAAACAGTAACAGGAGAAAACTATATGACAAATACATATTTTCTCCTGTTTCAAAGAAATTTAAATCATTTTGAGTCACTTTGGACCTGTTTTTTCATCTATAAAATAGGGAAGCTGTAGATTAGATGATCCTTATAGTTCTCTAGGTCCTTAAGGTTGTGTGGTTCTATTTTTGAATTTAAAAGCAGCTTGCTTTTACAGCTCAACCCCAGGTTCTGAGAGGTTCAGATAGTATGATCTGGCAAAAGTGATCCAGGTAGGTGAAATTGAAAATCAAAGCATGCTGATGGCTTGAGTAGTTCTCCCTGACCTTGTGTGTGCTTTATAAGATCCTTTAGTAGTATCTACTCTCAATGTACACTGGTGGGGATCTCCTCCCAGCGACAGAGTGGCTCCTCGCCAGACCCTCCCATTCATCTGTGTCCTATGTTCTGGACTCAGGATTGTGTGCCAGCTTCAGAGGATGCTCTCCATAGCCGTAGAGGTGGACAGGACCCCCACCTGCAGCTCCAATAAAATTGCTGAGATGATGTTTGGGTTTGTGCTGGACATTCCTGAGAGGAGCCAGAGGTGAGTCTTAGTTGTGTTGGGCAGAGTGGTTATTTAAAAAAAAAAAAACCCTTAGAAATCATTTTTATTAAATTAACTTTTCTCTCTATGCTACCTGTCAAGAACAGAATTTTGCAAGACAAAATTCCAAATTAATTAAAATAGGAAGAAAATACTAGAAGAATTATTCCCATATTTTTGACTTTTGGAAAGAAGGTTCTCAACTAATTATTATTATTTACAACTGAGATATAATTTCTTGGGAAGAGGCACAGTACCCTAAATGGAGACTAAATTTTCCAACCATTTCAATTTACCTAACAATTTTACCCTTCTTTCAAGATTTAACTGTTAAGGCCAGATGTGGTGACTCATGCCTGTAATCCTAGCACTTTGGGAGGTCTAGGTGGGCAGATCACCTGAGGTCAGGAGTTTAAGACCAGCCTGGCCAATGTGGTGAAACCCTATCTCTACTAAAAATATAAAAATTATCTGGGCATGGTGGCAGGTGCCTGTAATCCCAGCTACGCAGGAAGCTGAGGCACAAGAATCACTTGAACCAGGAGGTGGAAGTTGCAGTGAGCTGATAGAGTGTCACTGCACTCTAGCCTGGGTGACAGAGTGAGACTGCCTCAAAAAATAATAATAATAATAATATAACTGTTAAGCCCTGCCTTCTTCTCTGATCTTTATCCATACACCTGGCATAAGTGTTCATTAAAGATTTGGTAAGTAAATATCCAATATTATAGGAACTAGATGTGACCCAAGAATGAAAAGAGTTGGACCTATAGAATAAGCCCAAATAGTAAGGATTACGAATTCAGTTTCTCTAAGCATGAATTAGTGAAGTGTTTCATTAGGAAGGGATAAAGAAATGGTTTTTGGCTAAAACCAATGATTCCTTCCTTGAACCAGTAATTTTAAAATCCAGAAGGAGAAAAATAAACTAGAATGAATATGAATTCATGAACACCTGCTGGTACAGGAACTAACTATAAAGAGCCATTGTGTCGTGGTGCCCCTTGGGGAAATTATGGTGTATGTTTGTCTGCAGGGATCTCCATCAGCTCCATGCCTGCTTCCCAGTCCCATCCCTAAACTCCCAGCTGACAACCAAGACACTATTGTGCAGCTCTGGTTTCTGCTATTACAAGAAAATCTCATGCCAAATAGTACTCTAATAGGACTTAATTAAAATACTCTGGTAAGATTAAGACATTTACTGAGTCCCTACAATGTGCCTGTCATTGTCACATTAATTATCTCATTTGTTTTGTTTTTCTTTTCTTTTTTTTTTTTTTTTTTTAATTTAGAAACAGGGTCTTGCTATGTTGCCTGGGCTAATTTCGAACTCCAGGGCTCAAGCAATCCTCCTGCCTCAGCCTCCCAAAATTCTGGGATTACAGGCATAAACCACCTCGCCTGGTAATGTTATCTCTATTTAATGAATAAGAAAAGTGCTCAAAGCGTTGGAGTTAACTAGCCTACATTTATGTAGCTAATCAGGTTCAGAATCCAAATTTAAACCCAGGGCTGCCTAATTCCAAATTTGCTATTCAAAGGAGGCAGTATGTTTTAATGGTCAGACAGAATAAAGTGCACATGAATACTGTGCTTACTCTAACACTTTGTCAGTAGTATTTCATTTGGGTCCAACTCCCCTACCATTCGTTCAGATAAGCCCAGTTGCTGGTAAGAAATGGGAAAGCTAAGGAATGGGTAACAAAAACAAATTTGGAATTAAAACAGACAAACGTGATTGATAGAAAACCTGGCCCTACTTTAAAATTCTCTCAGAAGGGGCAAATTGGCCACTCACCAGATTATATTAAAATATATTTTGCTTGGCCTTCACCTTGATTTATTTTAATTTTCTAAAGTTTAAGTATAATTTACATACAATTAAATTAACTAATTTGCATACATACCATCCAATGAGTATTGACAAATGCATGTACCTGCTTGACCTTTCATTTTCCAATTGCTCATTAGTAGTCTATAGAAACGCTGCAACCACCAGGCGCGGTGGCTCACGCTTATAATCCCAGCACTTTGGGAGGCTGAGGCGGGTGGATCACGAGGTCAAGAGATTGAGACCATCCTGGTCAACAAGGTGAAACCGCATCTCTACTAAAAATACAAAAATTAGCTGGGCATGGTGGTGCACGCCTGTAGTCCCAGCTACTCAGGAGGCTGAGGCAGGAGAATTGCTTGAACCCAGAAGGCGGAGGTTGTGGTGATCCCAGATCGTGCCATTGCACTCCGGCCTGGGTAACAAGAGTGAAACTCCAATCTAAAAGAAACCCTGCAACCTTAATAAATTAACTTATTCTAGTAGGATTTTTGTTTATTTTCCTTAGAATTTTCTACATACACAATCATGTTATCTAAAAATACAGTTTATAATTGTCCTTCCCAATCTGTGTATGCCTTTTACTTTCTTTTTCTTCCTTTGTTACATAGGCTAGTATCTCCAGGAAAATGTTGGAGAAGTAGTAAGGATAGACATTATTGCCTCATTCCTGATCTTAGGTGAAAACATTCAGTCTTTGACTATTAAGTGTGATGTTAGCCATGAATGTTTCATAGGTACCCTTTGTCAGATTGAGGGAGCTTCTTTTCACTTCTAGTTTTTTATTTTTTATGAAGAATAGGTATTGAAATTTGACAAATATATTTTCTCCATCTATTGAGATAATCATAATTTTTCTCCTTTATTCTGTTGATGTGGTGTATTAACTGATTAATTTAATCATGTTAAACCAACTTTGCATTCCTGGAATAAAAACCCTACTTCGTTGTGATTTATTCTTCTTATATATTGATGGATTCAAGTTGCTAATATTTTGTTAAGGGTTTTTGCATTGATGTTTACAAGGGATACTGATCTGTAATTTTATTTTCCTATAATGTTTAATGTTTCCTTATGCATGTTTAAAGAAAGGTAAATTAAAACTACACTGAGATACCATATTTTACCTATCCGGTAGTAAAAAATTGAACAGTATTATAGTTGATTGGTGAGACTTTGAGAAAGCAGGTACTCATACATTGGTGATGAGAATGCAAAAATGATAGAAGCCTTATGGAGGGTAAATTTGCAATCTAACAAAACTAAATATGTGTTTACCTCTTGACCCAGCATTCTCACTTAGATGCATACAAAAATATGTATACAACTGCAGCATGGTTTGTAATTACAAAATACTGGAAACAACCCAAATGCATATCAGTAGGAAAGTGGTGAATATCTGTGGTATATCTATGATGGAGTATTACACAGCTATAAAAAGATTAAAATTAAAAATAAGAGAAATATTTCTATGAACTGAATTCTTTATTTTGTTGTTGTTGAGTTGGAGTTTCACTCTTGTTGCTCAGTCTGGAGTGCATGGCATGATCTCTGCTCACTGCAACCGCCACCTCCCAGGTTCAAGTGATTCTCCTGCTTCAGCCTCCCAAGTAACTGGGATTACAGGCACCTGCCACCACATCCAGCTAATTTTTGTAATTTTAGTAGAGACGAGGTTTTACCATGTTGGCTAGGCTGGTCTCAAACTCCTGACCTCAGGTGATCTGCCCACCTCAGTCTCCCAAAGTGCTGGGCTTACAGGCATGAGCCACCACACTCGGCTTTCTATGAACTGAATTCTAAGATAAGTTTAAAAACCAAAATACAAAAGAGTATGTATAGTAAATATACATATCTTTTTGTTAAAAAAAAAAAAAAGACAGAAATTAAAAATAAACATGATTCTGATCATTTGTTTAAAAGAGAAACAAAGTTAAGTAAGCCACAGACGAATAAATTACTTATATACAGAGAGTGGGTGGGAATGGGGTAAAGGGAGGAAAGGTACTGGGCTGGGTGGTAGTGGTGGCAGTAGTGGTACTGGTAAACACTTCCCTGAGTATGCCTTTTTCCATGGCTATAAACACTTTTCAGAGCCATGTTAACCCATTTATGCCTGCGTTTGCAAATTTTTTGTGTGAAAAAAAATCAGACCTTGGCAATGATCTTGAGCAGTAGGATATAAATTCCCACCAGAGTAGTGTCCCAATAATGGAACACTCGGCATACATTTAATGTTTTACGTAAAAAAATCAAGTTCATGGGGTGCCAAAAATGGAATACAAGCAGAAACAAGTTAACCTAACTAACTGTACTTCAATAAAATAAAGGGGAGGTAGCATGGTGGCATGTACTCATAGTCCCAGCTACTCAGGAGGCTCAGGTAAGAGGATCATTTGAGCCCAGGAGTATGAGGCTGGCCTGGGCAACACAGCAAATCCTGTTGGTAATTAATTAATCAATAAAAATGAGGGCAGGGATGGCGGAACAAACCCAAGTAACTTTTTTTAACTTTTTATTTTATTTTAAATCATTGTAGATTCACAGGAAATTACAAAACCTATTAGAAGTATTGTGTATCCTTTACCCTGTTTTCTCCCAGATACAATGGGAACTATATAGTACAGTATCACAAATAGGAAATTTACATTGGTGTAATCCAGTACTTTATTCAGTTCTACCCATTTTACATGCACTTATTTGTGTGTAGCTCTTTGCAGTTTTTTCACACATGTAGATGTATGTAACCATCATCACAGTCAAGATGCATAACTGTTGCATCATCACAAGGATTCCTTGTGCTACCCCTTTGTAGCCAGAATTACCCATTCTCCCCAGCTCCTAGCAAACACTAATCTGTTCTCCATCTGTGTCAAAGTAACTTAAAACACAGTATTTGGATTAATTGCCATAATGGTAAAGACAAAATAAACTGAACTCTAGTTAGTAGGTTTCTTTTTCACAGAGATACAGATTAACAATTCAAAAACTATTTTATGTGTATTCTAGGATTAAACAAATAAATGTATTGTGGATACTGAGAGCCAAGTTTCTTACTGTCAGAGAAAAGAGTTACACATATGAAAAGGGGGAAGAATAGAAGGAATCCTATGGTACTGGACTGGAATTGGAGGTATCAGTATGAACGTGTGGTTTCTAATAAATA